ACCAGGTTATTGCTCACGTCTAAATAATTTTTATGACATGTGAATCTTCCCTGTGAGTAGAGAACACGATTGATTTAACTTTTTCTAACAGAAATTGAATTTGGCCTTAAACTGCCTCACATTTGTACAGATGGAAATGATGAGCCCATCACAGAACAAGCCATATAATACTTTATTATTTCACTTAATATATCAGCATAAAACCCTGATGTGATGTACTTAAGAGTGCTTGAGCAGCACCGCCTGAGTGTAATATGCTGCTTGTGCATGGGATGTGCTCAGTGTTGACTGCTGCTATCTCTGCTCACATTTACTGATATTTATAAACATTTGTTCTTTCAGTTGCTTAGAAATTCCATGCTTGAGGAATTCTTGTAGTCATGCAGGGTGAGACAATAAAATCATAGGTGACCGATGTAACTTTCATAAGGTCAGAATCTTACCTATTTTTCAAGAATCTTGTTGTGTACCTGTGCTTTGTGTTATATTTTCCATGATATGCAAAAGATAAAGGAAGAAAAGTCCTAACAGAAATCTTTGAAATCAAATAGGGACAAACATTTAAAGAGAATTTTTTTGGTAACATGACATTTTCAAGAATAGGATATGCATTATATTTCCATACAATAATGGTTGTAGTTCTAAGAACTTGATTTATGGTGAGCGGTAACCTTTTCCTTGAGTACTCCCATCAGGGATCTTTCAAGAAAACAGCAGAGATACATTACTGTGCTGTTCTGACACTTGTGTCTTGTGCCATATATAATTACATATAATAGAAGTGAGTTCTGTCATATAACTTTTGTAGAGACAGTGGAAAAATAGGGGACCTCTGTCCTGTAAATGAGATAAAATTAAGTGGTTTTGAATTAGGAACACTTGTAGTTTGATAGTGGTGACAGGAGACACCAGCTGTGGCAATCTTGTGAGGAAACCTCGGAGAGAAACTTGTGGGTGGCAAGGAGCACAGCAGTGAAAATGCTCAGCTCTCATAGCCATACTGTCATCTCTGGTTAAATGGGCCGACAGTAAAGCATGTGTTTTCTCCAGAGGCAATTCCCACACATATTTTGAATTTTAGGAGCCCTAATCTGAAGTGATCTGTCTCTCCAAGGCTGGAGGTACCCTTTTCCCATGAACATCTCCTACCTCCTATCACTGTATTTATGTGTGAAGGAAATAGAACAGAATTTTTTGTCTTAGCCTTATTGAAAGATATTTTCAGATTTGAACGTGAAGAGACATATTTTGCCCCACATTAGACACATGTAATAATGTAGTCTGAATAACCAGTTTCTGTACATCCTTGACTTTTACACAGCCTTTTCAGTAATATTCCTCTATTGTTGTATGTTTAATTGTAAAATGGTATTCTTCCTATAGTTTTATAATATAGAATGTTTCTAATATACATGCTCAATAATCAGAGGTAATGCCAGCGTTGAGAGATTTGACTTCTGTGTTTGCAAATTTGCTATTGCTGTAAAGTCAAATAATGAGGCCATAATTTTTTATTAGAACATAGTAATGAGGTGCTTAGTAATAAATTCAGCTGAGTGAGGCAAAATTGCACCTAAGCAAACTCAAATTCTCCTACTTCACGATATAAGCCGGTAGTAGTAAGTAGTAGAGATCAGAAGGGATTATGTGAGTTTTTTCTTTCATTGACATTCACTGAAGTCAAACACTGAATCAACTAGTACCAGCTTATCTACCTAGGTGATACATTTAATTGTCAATGACAATTTCCATGCTAGGAGTTGGATACTGAGTTGTTATGTAAGTAGGTTTCCACAATCAGGCTGAACACTGTTTTCACTACTGTTCTGTTTCATAGTACAGTCTTGAAAAAACACCCCTTGAAATGCAAAAAAATACATTTTAGTGGATGACAATTCTATTTTGGATAATTCCAATTTCGCCTGTTTTTGAAGAACAGAAAACCAGATCCACAAAAGAGCTCAGGTCTCCAAAATGTCTTCTAAGTAAACATCTAAGTAACAAAGTCTAAATTCAATCTGTAAAGAACCTTTCAGATTTCCCAGGAGTCTGAATTATCACTTTTGAATTTCCTCATTCCTCAAAGTTCTGCTTTTCTTTGAATCCCCCATTCTGTCCATCTTCTCAGGGCTCAGCAATGTGGTGTCTGCTTTGCACCAAGTGCCTGTCAATGCTTGTTTGAAACTTCAGATTTAGCCTGCATCTGATCAGCATGTCTCTCCTGATCCAGGAAGTGTATTTTTACCACCTCTATTATATGCCTGCTGCATTCATCCACATACAAAATTTACTTATTATTTGTGTTTTCAATTCTGTATTAGTTTATATTAATGAAAATTATGCATAATGGCTAATTGCATTGCACAGTCTACATGTGCTGCTGACCTGCAACATCATGCAGGCTACAGGAGATAGTTCTTTCTGCTTCCTTGCCCCAAGGAAGAGTATTCTGTATACAGATGACAAATTTGAGACATTTTTTTTAAATTTCCTCTTTTTAAAACTTGAAATTCTTCTTAAAATTTGGTGGAATCCAGACATCTAGTTCAAAATCAGTAGGAATAATGGAAATAGAGGTACAGGGCATTTCTTCTGGGTTCTTTCATATGAAATTAGTTTTAAATTGTGAGGGGCTCCTATTTTTTATGTCAGTTCATATAAACCATTCAGTTGCTTTAGAGCATGTGAGCAAGAACTGAGAAATGTACACTTGGCTGCAATTTTCTCTTCTGTCAGATGGAGCACCCCAGCTCTTTGGGAGGTGTTCTGGGTCATAAGGAAATTACAGTTTTTGTAAAGCAGGTGCAATGTATTTAAAAATCTATGGATAGTAATTTTAGTGTCCTTGTATCCTTGGCTTGACTGCTTCACCAGTGGCACATTCCTAGAGAATATAATTTACACAGGATGAGATTCTCCAAGAAACCTAGACAAGAGTGTTCCTTGCTAAGATGAAACATAATGCTACTAGGGCACCTCCTTAAAGCACCTATTGTCTAGGCTCATTCTGCTGTTGTTTCACATCAGGTTATTTAAATATTGTTTGTTGGGGTTTTTTCAAAGATGGGGAAAGTGTAACTTAATCACTTATGACACCATTAATGATAATTTCATTAGTTTAATGAAATAATACAAGTGACAAAGCTTTTTAAATAAAAATTTCTTAAATGTTATATATTTTTGAACTATTCAGGTAACTTCTTCATCCCTAAGTGGGTTCCTGAGGTCTTCCTGTTCCTGTTATTCCTAGAACCACTCATGCTTTAAGTACTGTAAATATTTAGAATCCTCCAGGGTGTTTGATAGCGTATTTTACCCAAGACTTTGACCCAAGAGCTTTGAAAACTTAATTTCCAAAGTAATCATATTCACTGTAGACATCAGGATATGGCAGAGAAGCTATGTGGACTAGTTTTCTTGAATGAATTGGAATTTCTGTCTGTGTGGGGATACATGTTTCAATTCCTCTCTTTCAGTGTACTTAGCTATTACTTTGAGAGTAAAAACACAGCTTTTTTTGTGGTAGCAGAAACATCTGGAATTTTTTATTTTGCTCATGTGAAATAGGCATGTAATAGTAATGGATAAATTTGGTTTATTTGCAAAGTGGTATATGCATGTTACAGTCAGCAGAGGTTTTTGAAGACAATTTAAGTTGTTTTCTGAAAAATCTTTCTGTGGCTTAATTAGCCAGAGCACCTACCAGAAGTCAAATAAATTATATTTACTCACCCTCTTAATGTTCTTTCATAGTCCTAGTAACTATTACTATTATTACTAGAATTGGAATTAATAAATATAACAATACTATAACTCAGTAATAGAAATATAATTAGTAAAATAGGTTGTTCAGTTTATTTCAGACTATTCTTTCCAGGTGCTTTTATTTTAATTGGGATCAGGTATTTTACAGGTTCATGTGTTACATGTTACAATGGCTTGAAATGAAAAATGGAGTAAATATTTGTGTTGCTCAGTAATTGGTTATGCACATGTCTTCAGGTATTCCAGAGTGGTTTCATTTTTATATCCAATCTGGCCTTTGTATGTTGTTAGTAGTGGGATATTGCTGTTTGTTTTTTTTTTTAAACTGTGATGTTTGGTAGAGGTGTATGAGGTAGATCCAGCTGAAGTGCTGAGGTAGCCTGTCTGCTCACAAGCCCTTACCCCGTGACTTTAAAGCTCCCTCCACATCCTGTTGCTGAAGTGTAGTTGCTGCATCACTGTATGAGCAGACCTGAGCTAGGCAATGTTTTGTCCACGTGCTAAATACATTCCTGCTCACACAACAGGAGAGAAACTAAAGAGAAAAATGTGACCTGTGGTTTGGTGATTAGAGAATGCTGAAGGAATGCAAAGGTGGACATTAGGAAATTATCACAACTGTACAGTAAGAATGGTTGAACACTGCTAAATACAATTACTGATTCCTCTTTTGAATAGGTTTCCCTTAAGTGGACAAATTTTTAAAAAGAGGCACAGAGAAACTACTTTCCTAATACTGTATTCTTTGTAGATGTTTGAAGCCCAAACACTTTTGGCAGCCCAAATCACAGGTCTAACTATAAGCCTTAGCCACATACTGGCCCGGTATTTTCAGTTCACCTCATAAAGATGAGTATTCATACTGTGGTTACATAAAAGATTTCTAGAGCTTCAGAATAACTAAGAAACAACAGTTACAGTTGCAGGAAAAACACTTCTGAAAATTTCACTGGTATATATTACAAGGTGTTTAAATATGAACTTTTATCATTTAACTCCACTGATTTTCTGCTGGGGGTCCTAATTGTGACATATCTGATGTGTGTGGGTTTGTATTGCACATGGCCTGATTGCTGAGGTATTTACCAGATTTTCAATTAATTTTTTGCATTGTGAAATTCCTTTTGTATGCTTCTTTCTTTCTTCCTCTCAAGGGGAAAAACAAAAAAGCGAGAGAAAATGCACAACAAATCTTGAATCTTGCTCATTTCCATTTCTTTGCTTTTATTTTACAGGAGACCCATGAAATTGTGGCTATCAAGAAATTCAAAGACAGTGAAGGTAATCTTCTCTGCTGCATGATCTTTGATGTCAGTAACTACATTGTTAATATCTATCCAATTAAAATGAGAAGTCTCATACAGCAAAATATGATTTTAAAAATACAATGAATTATTAGCTCTGTAAATATTCAAGGCACTTGATCTTTCCTACCTTCCTAGAGACCGCATTATTATACACTCTAATTAGATAACACCTTTCTTTCTTGATGCATCTGTCTTAATATGGATGAGATTGTGGTGCTGTACATAGTAGTAAGATCTGCTATCTGGAGATGGGATGTGACCAGAAAATGTTAAAAAGTCCTCTTGTAATAGTGACTTGCAGAGTCCTTGGGCTTTATCAGCTTTCATCTGTGAGAGGGGATCTAAATGTCAGGGCAATTTGAAGTTGTAAATGGAGGAGACTGAAAGAAGTCATTGAGAAGTTCAGTTACAGGAAGATAAATCTGGGAGCTCTTAAGGATCTGTGAAGGGAGCTGGGTGGTGAGAGAGCAGCTCTGGCCTCACTTCAGTGGGCTTCAGTCTCCTCAGGAAACTTGCTTTTTTCCACTTCACAGCAGACCCTGGGTACTCTGCAGCATTGCTGAGTTTGCTGAGAAGGAAGAAGAGCCCATTTCTGCAAGGATTAGCATTGCTGCCAAAAAGGGTGGTGGAAGGCAGGACACAGAAATTATTCTGAGGGCTCCACACACACATTCCTCACCCAACAGTAATAAACCCAAAGAACTGGACAAGAAAGGCTGGCTCTCTGACCTGCGCTTGTCGTGGGGACAGGGAATTGCCATATCCTGCCATAGGCAACACTGGCAACCAACCATGAGAGCAGCTGTGTCCCTTGTGTGCATCATGGATCAGCCCTGAGCCCCAAAGGTCTGCACAAACAGGAGGAGGAGGAGGGTGAAGTGTGAGAGGAGTCACCCTGGTGTGATGTGATGCTGCTGTGGTTTGCCACATAGCGAGGCTTTAGCCAAAACTTAGCAATGTTGTTTAAAGAAGCAGCAGTCACTTTATTTTAGCAAATTTTATTTTTCTGCTATCATACAGGATTGCTGGTGGCCATGAGGGTGGTGTTGGTTACAGGGGCTGTATTTTTCAGAGTCAGTCAGACACAGCAAAGTCTGATTTGCATCTTGTTTTGCACAGCGGCACAGTCATTTTCCCAGACACTTGAAGAGTATATTTAATAATATATTTATATTTTTATATATCTTTATTACATATATACATTATCTATATTATATATTATATATATTTATATATATATATATAAAAGAAATGTATTATTTATTTATTTATTTTTGATAAATGTTTTCGCTTTGCTGTTCAGAAATTCTGTTTTAAATCCCTGTAAACGATGTAGAAGACAGTTTAATTGTGGTGACCATCTTGACCAGGTCAAGAGAGTATCTCAGAATTGCTTTTTGGAATTTACTGTGGCTATTCAGTACAGATCCTAGGAAGTAAATCTCAGTATTAAGCCCTAAACAGGATTATTGTATTAGCTTTACTACCAAAAAATGAAAACAAAAAATGTGACATTGCCATTAGAGGTCTGGCTTTTCATGGGTATTACATAATATCAGTTTACATGACTGATGACTGCTTTTCAGATTTGTAGCAGATTTGTAGTTGTTTACAAGTTTCTGGAAATATGACAGAAGTTCTTTTGATGGATTTGATTCAGCCCATTTCACATCTGTCTTGTTAATATGGTAGTTCATTAGAAGTTTGAATATACTGTAATTGTTTCTATTGACATTTTTGTTTCACTGAATTTTTGCCGTTGTTTGACATATGAATACTAAATGTGCTGGAAAGTGACTGTCTTGTTATAGATGAGATTATGCAATCAGGCTGATGCAAGCCAACATCAAGCACTCAGTTTTAAAATGAAAGGATTTAGATTGCTCTAAATTATATATTTTTTTAATCAGAACATTTGTGATTATAGTATTTTGTTTTCTTTTTCCCTCCTGCTGCATTTCAATTTTTATTTTTCCCTTCTGTCTTCTGTTGATGATTAGTGTGTTTGCATGGCCACTGTTATTGGCTCTCCCCTGCAAACATCTTTTTCCCTTGGAAAAACAATTTCTCTTCCTTGTTTCTTCTTCCTCTGTCTCTAACTGTGTTTGTGGTACATGACCTGCAACTTAACCTGACTTAGCTTTGAATTTATGCAAGCATTTCCCATTTAGTAACTCTGTTATGGATAACAGTTCTAAGAGATTAAGAACGCTATTTCTATGTGTGCATGAGCAAATTTACTGAATTAATGGATTTCATTTTACTTAATGAAAAGTAAAATCTAATATAGTCACGTTTACTTCCCATATCATTGCTAGTATCCTTTAGAACCTAGTCAGTTTGTAGTCCCTTAATGATAAGCAGTGTATGAAGTGTTAGTGAAGCGCTCCTCCTTTCTTGAACACCTTTCAGACAATTAAATTGTCAAATCAGTTAAATTACAATTAAATTTAATTGATGAAGCAGTTAAATTTCTTGGCTGCTCTTATTTAGATTCCCGACTTTGTGGCATCAATACTTACTCTGCTGCCTTCTGTGGCTGCTACACTGGTTTGACATTGCTCTAATTCCTTGAAAGCCGTGTGGGGAACATACAGGACTTAAAAATGTGTGCTTCAGTCTTAAAATTTGTCATGGCTTTTGGAAAATAAAATTATTTCAGAATCAAATACATTTGTTTGGTATTCAAAGATGAGCTTTACATTCCAGTGTTTCTGCTGAGGACAACCTTCTCAGTGGTTTATGTGCATGATGTGTATTTGTGGAGTAGAGGATGTACACACACATGAATGTTTTTTCAAAGCATATTAGTTCCCTTCATAATAAAAAAAAGATAGAAATGCAAACTATTTGTTTTTTATGACTTTCTCTGCCACAGAAAACCTTTATGGTAGTGATGGGGAGATCAGTGAGGGTTGCATAATAAGCACGATCATCACTGACCTCTCTTCCAATGCAGAAGTATGCAGACAACAAATAGTCCACACTGAAAAATAATTCTGTAATGTCTAAAACCAGACAATTTAATCAATTCAGGGGTTCAAAATAAATCTTTATAACACTTTTTACTTGTGGGGTTTGTTTTGTTTTCTTAATCAGCTTACTCTGTCATTTTACTTCTCACTCTAGAAAATGAAGAAGTCAAAGAAACCACTTTACGAGAGCTTAAAATGCTTCGCACATTGAAACAGGAGAACATTGTGGAGCTGAAGGAAGCCTTCAGAAGAAGAGGAAAATTATACTTAGTTTTTGAATATGTGGAAAAAGTGAGTTAAGTTTGTAGTAGTATCCCTGCCATTTTTAAATCATCAGCTTACTGAAGATGTCTTTAAAATTGCTTTTTTTTTTTTTAAATTAAGCTATCCTAATCTCTAAAGAGAAGCAGCAGAAACTTTAATATGAGTTGTAATTAGACATCTGTTGTGAGACAGCAGCACTGATTACTGTTGTTTTTACATCATGTGTTGGTATTTTTTTTAAAAATATTCTTCCATTTGTGAACATCAACATGTTAAAAAGTATGCAGACTGGAATACATATGATTTGAAGAAAAATTTCCATCTGAACTCTTTAATCCTGTTTAATTTTAAAGCTGGATAACTGTCCTGTCTTATGTTGTGTAATGAGTCTTGACGTAGTCTTTCAAAACAAGATCATAGACTTTTGACCTTGGAATCTCTTTCAACTTTCTCCACCCTTCCCTGTTAAAAATAGGATTTGTTTGTGTATTTCTGTAACAAGGCCACTATCAATAGTTGCTTAGAGGGATTTGGCAAAGACTACTGTCATTAACTCCAATCCTGACCTCATTTTGAAACTATTCCAAAATTTCCTTAGATTGGCCTACTACTGCCAAGCATCCTGATCTGTTTCCAGGGAGAAACAACCTAGAACAAATTGGTCTTTTGTCATTTTTGCAACCTTCCTGATGAAAGTAGACCTTCCCTCTGAATTCTAACCATTTAGCATTTCTTCATGGAAACAGTTAGGTGCTATTCAGATACATAGAGTGAAATAAAATGCAGGTTTAAATATGTCTATAGCCTTCATGAGATATTGTTCTTTTGATTGAAATTTTCATTTCATTTCCTGCCAGTGTGATGTTTCAGTCCAGCTGAGTGCTAGTACTCTGCAGTCAACTTTCATCTAAAAATTTCTCACCCTAAATGATGTTTCCTTTATGTCAATTTGCCAACTTATTTTGTTGTATAATTGACTACATAATGTGAAGTGACCTGTATTAGCTCACAATTTGGCAGAAATCAGTTTTGGTTTTCACCAGCAGATCAGCAACTTTTAATGTGGTGGATCTTACTTGGATCTGACATTCAAAGCTTGACTTGTTTCACCCATGTTCCTTGTAATTGTTCCAGACACATGAAATGTCTTTGATCACACAGCAACTTAGAACATGCATTTAATTTTCTGTTATAGTGGACTTGGCTAAGCTATCTGGAGAAGTGAGTTGAAAGTGAAGCATAAGTAAAAGATATTTAATTGGTCTGATAAGGGATATATATTTAAAATCTGGTTAATATCAGTAAAAACACCAAGCTACAATATCTAATGTTTTTTGCATCAGAATAAAATAATTTTGTGATAAAGGTAGGCATCATGAATAGTTTGTACGTATGTCATTTCTGTATTAATGTTCAACTTTCTTTTCAATTAAACTTTGAAGTAAATGACCATTCCTTATTTTCAAATATCTTAAGTAGTGTCACCCATAGTTTCTTTGAAGACCAGGATGTTTCTGTTTTCTTTGGATGAGGGGAGAGTAGAAAGAATTAAATAAAATGTGGTGGAATAGACTAATTTTTTGTTTAACGGGTAATGAGCACTGTGTCCTTTGGGGAATGTTAACTCTGCAGTACTGAAATCCAGATTACTTAAATTCACATTTAGTCTAATCTCCTTTATTCATCATCCCCTTAGTTGATGTCTTCATATAGGATTATGTCTTCCTGTGTTGATGCTGTTATTTTGTTTTGTATTTGTAACACTAACTTCTTGACTTACTTATCCAGATCCACAGCCTTCTGTGCGGACAAGAATCTGACTAAAATCAATATGGTTTCTTAACAGAAAATTCCTTTCTCAGATCTGAAGTGTGTTTGTTCAAACTCTTACACTCAAAGACATAAGTTCCAGTATTTACTCACAAACTGCAAAATTTAGAAATGCTTTCAAATATCAGCAAAATCTCATCTCTACTGTTCATTAAAACATCTTTCAAGAGAAACCTCAAAAATTTTACTGTACAATTAAGAAAATGTTTGTCAAAGACAAGGAAAATTTAACAAAAAATCTACAAATGCTCATAAATCCATAATTGAATGAGTTGTGTAAGGCAATATAGCCAAAATAGTCCTATTTCAGTGTTCAGTAAATAAGGTTTTTTTTCTCTCTTCAAATGGGTTGCTGCTGCCCATTATTATTCCAGAAATCAGCATACAAACTTCATTTTACTTCTAATTGTGCAAAATTAGAGATGTTTGCTAACATAATGGGAATCTAAATGTTCCTTTTCAAAGAGGAAATGTACTAGTATAAACAATGAGTTTATTTTCTTTACTGTTTATATCGATAAATTAGTTATGGCCAATAGATATGGCCATAGTTGCTGTAGTGCCAAGATGTCCCAGATCATTGTAGCTGATCTGTAGCTATGAGATACTCCCTAGGTTACTATTTATGCCCCTGTGAGGCATTTTTATATTTTTTTATTTTTATTGTTTCTTCATTGCTCTAAGAGGGTTGTGTTGTCTTATACCCATTCATATACAGATACAGTTGGTGATTTATCTTGGCCCTGCAGTGTCAAAGTGGCAGAACTAACTTAATGAAGAGAACAGTATGTTAAAGCATTGTTGAATATTTACAAAATGCTTTGATTTGCTAAAGTTTTGTATGGCCACACACCTGACCTGGTGTTTCTGTTTAAGCAACATTTTGTAAATAAATTACTTTTTATGTGTTTTAGGGAAAGTGTTTTGATGACATTCTTTTAAGGACTTTTAGGATTATTGTCTTCACAAGTCTTTTCTCCAGAATGAAAACAGCCAGGAGAATGCTTATGATTAAAATTCACTCCCTGAATGTTAAACTACTGATTTTCCATAGCTGAGCTCTGTAGCCCAAATACGTTGCTTCAGAAGGCTGAAAGCATGTTATCTTCCAGCAGCTAGAGAGTAGCTCTTTTAAATAATGTGTCTTTTAAACATTTAGAATATGCTTGAATTGCTAGAAGAAATGCCAAATGGAGTTCCACCAGAAAAAGTGAAAAGCTACATCTACCAGCTAATTAAAGCAATTCATTGGTGCCATAAGAATGATATTGTTCATAGAGGTAAGTGTGTACTTCTCCACATGGAATAAGCCCTTTTCTAAAGGGAAATATGTTACAGCTTGAAGTAATTTGCATTTAACATAAATATAAGCAATTGATTTATATTAACAGAAAAAATAAACTTTAAATTTGGCTGGGTCTTGAGTCTGCTTCATGGCTCCAGATCATTTTAAAACAAAATTCATCTACATAAAACGTTTGCTTTTCATTGTCTTTGTGAAGTGACAGGCACAGCAAACTGTAACTGCAGGAGCAGACATTGTCTAAGAAAAAGGAATTTTTTTTAACATTTCATGGTGCTCAGTCATTTCACATTTGAATCTGATAATAGAATATTAGAAGAAAAATAACCTAAAACGTAAAACTTGGTCCACCATGTTTTATTTCTTACAGCAGTTGCTTCCAGCTCCCTTGAGTTTCAGCTCTGTGTATTTACTTTCTCCCTAAGGTTCAAGCACTTAGAGTACACATCTTGATGTATGAGTTTATCTAGTTTTATGTATTTTATCCTGATTTAATACAATTGTATTCTTCTTCGTGACTTTGAGAGAATAACATTTTTAATTAATATTTCCAATAAGATAAAATTCTCACATGGTGTGTTTTTTATATATAAGACCAGCATAATTCTGAAATAATTAATAATTAAGATCAGCATAATTCTGAAAATATTTTCAAAATGTAATTAGAAAAATATACAGTGTCTATAATATAGGAATGAAAATAGGGCTTAAAAATGAGCAAGACATTTTTTCTGAACAAATTACAAGAGGTGATCAAATGGTCATTATAATTGAAAATGTTGAGCACAACATACTTAATATTTTATTGGTTAGCTGGGTAATTGAATATCAGTCCTTTCTTTTATTTTGCAACATTAAATATGGATATTGGTTTTCTGCCCAGGAATATCTGTAAGCACATTTTATCTTTCCATATTTTGTTGGGAAACACTTTAAAAGACTTCAAAAGGCAGAAAATTAATTCTGCCTGTTCCCAAACTGAATAGCTGGAAGCTGTTTCAGCAGTTGCTCTTGTAATGCTTCGTTTATGATTGCATGAATATCTCTAAATAAGTTATAATGAAATAATATTTGTTGACAAAGTCCAAAATTAAGAGAAGTTAACAGCTTCTTTTTTTTTTTTTTTTCACCCGCTCTCATACTTTAGATATCAAGCCAGAGAATCTCTTAATAAGCCACAATGATGTTCTGAAGTTGTGTGACTTCGGTAAGTTTGGAAGATAGCTGCTGATTATATTTTTAAAGAAAAACTCTTGCAGTGCAGTTTTGCTTAATTTTGTAAGAGTTCTACAGTATGTACTCTTTAAAAGTCTTCTACCAGTCAGAATTGATTACTACTTCAGGTTTGGGGCCAGTATTTTAATTTGGAAGATTTCTGTTCTTAATTTGCATACCCTGTGAAATACCTGTGTTAACATGTCTATAGAAACACTGCATTTCTCTCTTCCTGTATTAGACAAGGTTTCTGCTTTTGATGTTGCTGAGACTCAGCTGAGAAGATCACAGATGATTTTATTAGGAGGCTGGCAAAACTATAGGTTTATCTGACCTGTGTATTAAAACAAAAGATAATTACTGCTTGTTTGGTAAAGACACAGTAAACTTGTACTTTTTATATATTTTTTTGAACCATTGGCTTTTGTGGAATGTTATATGTGTAGTTACAGGTCAACATTTTTTGTTACCTTAGTTAAGGAATCACATGTCCACCTGTGATTAATGACTGAATGACTGGAGATCAGAGTCAGAGCTGTACGTGTTAGGCTAACTCTGATGTTTTCTGACCTACCAATGCCTGTTTAATGTCAGCTTTAAGGCTTCGAAGAATCATCACCCAGGTACAAGGTGAACTTTGCCCATGTGAGTAATCCAAGAAGGCAACAGGGCAGAATGTTCCAACAATCTGTGTTTTTATTCTAAATGCTGCATAAACACAGAATAAAATATTGTTCCCTCTGAAAAGCTTACAGTTTGGCTTGGTAAATAAAATCCAGTTCCACAGTGTAACCCCAAGGGCACTATTCAGTAAGAACAGTTTGAAAGCTGTCATTTCAAACCTCTGCAATTTTGAATGAAAAGAAGAACTGCCAACAAAATAAATAAAAATAGTTTTTAAGGAAGACAAGAAAGGTGTTTGTCATTTGTAGTGCTGCTTATTTCTTTTATTCCTAAAGGCATTTTTGCTTAAGCATTCAGAAACAATAACCATTCTAGAAAAACCCTTAGAATATTTGGTCCATATACGTTCTTTGAATTCAATGCCATTTATTCTGCAGTGTAAGGTATTGTACAGCTCTGACAGAACATCAGGATACCCTTGTGTGTTCTCAGTGCCTTTGCCTTTTTGGCACCCACAGGGCTCCTGTCTACACCACTTCACACTGATTATCGGGGTCTTGGCCCTGCCAAGCAAACCCTGCTGAGGGACCAACCCACCGCCCTGTGCAGAGCTGAGCAACCAGCACAGGCAGTACCTGTCCCTGCACAGTGCACACCCCATGCAGGCTAACCTCAACCATGGGAGCTGTGCACCCCACAGGTCCTTCCCTGGCCCTCCCTCCCTCCTTCCCTCCGTCCTTTTCTCTGGGTGAGGGATGTCCCTGTTCGAAAGCAATGTCATTGGAGTTGTCACATGACATCAGCTGACAGATCTTTGCATGTGAACTTCTGTCAACATCCTCTGTGCAGCAGAACTGCAGAAAAATAAAAAGCCAGACAAATGGCACGGTCATGTTTTGGACATCAGTTTTTGCACCAGATAGAGATGATGTGAATTCTGGCAGCAGTGGTGTTCTGTGTGGTCTGTTGGCTTGCTGTGTGCTCCAGCCATGTTCTCTTTCTGCTCTTGTAAAAGATGTGCAGTCACAGTGCACTCAGAGTGATCAGCATAATATCAAGAAAGGCAAACTGTATTTCTGTGGTTCTTAATGTTCCTGTGGGTTAGTTTTAATTTGCCTTTCATTTTTAGTTGAATTTAAAATTCTGAGCATCCCTTGTAAGATGGAATCAGCTTTAATTTTTTGGTGTTATTGCTAATTGACATAATTGCTAGTAGCTTAAACTATTCATGTAAAATACATGTCAGAATGGTATTAACCACAAGTGTTCACTGGACATGCAGAGATTAGGATATAAGAATTTGCCTTGTAGCATGACTTAACATATGCTGTCTGACGACCTTAATTCATGTTTTGGAACACAGGTACTTGCCACATACAATGTCATGTGATTACAAATTCAAATAAAATGCATCCATTTCCAGTAGCCCAGTGGACAAAACCAGTTTGAACAGAATAGTTCATAAATTTTTAATGAGATAATTCTTCATAATCCTTGTGGCATGTGTTCTGTACATACCGTGCTAAATAGAATTGAGATTGGTTGTTGTGCATGCCTGGACACATGTTGTGTGGGTGTCATTTCTGCCAATAGAAGTGGAAAAAGAGAACAGTACAAAGTGCTGCTTACAGCAGATGCATCTGTTGGAAATTGGTTTTCTGTCTAGTGTGTTTGCTGTTTCAACACCAGGCCTTCAAAATTACTTGTTTTAGCAACCTCTTTATTTCTGTATCATGTGTAAGCATAGAAATTGTGAAACATGGGACTGGAAAAGACCTCAAGAAATCCTCTAGTTTTTCCACCTACTCAAAGAAAGGATTAAGAATGTCTGTGTCATTCTTGACAGGTGTTTGCTTAGTATATTCTTAAAATTCTGAATAATAGAGGTTCCCTAGTGTTACATGTCATTAAGATTAGAATGCTTTACCTTACGTCTAACTTAAATGTGCCCTGTTTCTCTGTAAGAAGCTGACAACCTCCTACTTCATTATCTTACATCTTTTTCCTTGACATCTCTCCTACCATGTTCTGAGTTGATTAAAGTCCTTTCCTGAAATTCCTGATTTTGCTTATTTCTTTCTGCAGCATGATGCCTTTGCAAATGTTACTGTTTTCATAGTTGCTCTCACCTAAACCTCTTCCTGTTTCTAAACCTCTTCCTATTCTAATCTGTTCCTATTCACTGTTTAGAGTTTGTCTCATCTTCTCCCTAGCTTCCTTCTCTTGTTTCTATATTCCTGATACCCCAGCACAATTTGGAAGAAGGAACAATAAACAAACTCCATCATAACCAAAAATAATTGCTCCCTTAGAAAGATATACCTTCCTGAGCTGTTAGTTCTGTCCACCATCCTTCTGTGTGGTGTCATAGTGTCAGAGCAGTATTGGATCTATAAAATGCATCACCCAGCAGTGGAAAGGTGACACTGAAGCCCGTGGTGATAACTTTGCTTTCTGTCTTGCCACATCAAATCCATGCTGCACCTGGCCTGTAAAGTTAGGGGTTGATTCTTCAGGCTACATTAGTCGGTTGTTTGTGACCAGGTTCTGATAGACTGGCCTGGAGGGAGGAGAATGAAACTTTGCCCTCTTGATTCTTCTGATGCACAGGAGCTCATGTGCTGCCAGGCTCATGTGTTATATCAGCACATATTTACTTCTATTATGTGACTTCTTTCCTTTCTTCCCCTTCCCCTTTCAGTCTGGGGTTTCCCACGTTTTCACTCTCCCATTTCTTTGGTGTAGCTCCTGATTATCTTCCCCCTGTTCTTTAAACACATGAATGAAAGATTTTCCACTGCCAAGATTAATCAGATAGCTCGTAATTTCAAACAGAAATGGGGCTGCCTAAGCAGTAATATTTCAAAATTCACTCAATCCCCATGTAAGAAGGAAAAAAAAAAATTCCAGCTTTTCTGCAGCAGCACCAGTAATGTTCATTAGACTTTATGGGAACAGATATGAATTCTTATGTTCAGAAGGCTTTGAAATACCCATTCTTCATCATACTCATCCCAAATTTTAGTTTGCTAACACTTGAAGTTAGAGGTATCTTGCAAAAAGTAACAGCTGTAACCTATGTCATTAACAAATTTATAATTGTTTTCTATGATCACTAGTCTAATAATAATCACAATAGTAGTAATGATCTGCATCCAAATTTTTACTTCAGCTTGTAGTAAATTAGTATTCCACAAGTGTGAGTAGAACTGGGCTTTTTCCACACTAAGCCTTATACTTTCAGAATAGTAAAATAAATTTTAAAGTTTTTTAAATTTACAACTTTACGAAACATAGTGTAATGGGAAAGGCAATTTTGTCAGCTTCTGCAGAAGGAGCTCAGATGTAAAGAAAAATATCTATTGCATTTAAGTCGCATTTATTGATTCAGGAAATAAAGTTATGACTCATTCTTCTGCAACACTTTGGAATTTTTACTATTTCTTCATTGTTCATGCAGTAATGGAAAGACTTATAGTGATTTCACTGAAGGGAATTTTGAACTATATTTTAATGCCACATCTCAGTAAGAAAGCATTTTGGAAATGCTGCTTCTGCATTTCAGTCCCAAAAATTTGTCTGTTTGAGCTTTAGTGGAGTCTTGCTCCTGAGACATGTCTGTCCTGTCTCACTTAATTGTTAATTACTTATTTGAAAATAGTAAGACTTGATACTTTTTGAAAATAGTGCCAACATATGTCCTAGAGTACTTCTGCATGAAAAATCCAGTAACATTATTGTGGCGCTTGGCTGACTTTTAATGAATGGAGGAGAAGGAAAATAAAAGTTCAAATTATTCCTACAAATGGATTTTCCAGTATATGCACTCATCTCTCATCCAGTGTTCATAATTGTTATGCCTTAGGACAGCACAGAAGTTTTGGTACAATTGCAAATCAGTAAACATTTTAAAATTTTTTGTTTTATTCTTAACAAAATGATGTAGATAAAGAAGTTAATTTGGACATGGTTTCTGATCCTAATTCATGAAGAACCTTGTTGTGACTGTGGTGCTAAAGCAGCACAAACATGTGGAGTGAGCCAAGGTTTGCTGATTTTCCTAGACTTCTCCATTTTATAATTTTTAGGAGATGACCATTTTCCTTGCCAGGCCTGGGAGGGAGTGTCCTTGGATGAAAATAATACATAGCTTTTTGACCAATTTAAAAAATAGAAGACTGTGGTAGTTAGGGTCAATGACCAGAAGAGTCTAGTACACGTGTGTGTAAAGTTTCTAGAATGTCTTTATGAATCTTCTTCTGCAAACAGCACTTCAGTGAAATTTAGTGTAGTGCTTCAATAGCTGACATGGCATACTGACAGTTAACTTTTATCAGTCTGTTTTGATTACATAATAGCATAGAGAGTAATAGCAAACCCCCACTGACTTGTGAGGATAGTACATGAATAAGGGAGTCATTAAAGCAGACATGCTGACTTTCACTGTTGCATCAATAAAAGCTTGCATTTCAGTAGACAAACAGTTGTTGGAGACAACATTTCCATTCTGCAGCATTGCATTCATTCTGCAGCAGGGGCTGTAAACAATTTGCTTCTATATAAATAAACATGACCTCTTACTGCCAAAATCAGTGGTGATACACATATTGTTTTTAAAATGGGATATAATCTTTCACACTGTTTCTCTGACAGGCTTTGCTCGCAATCTCTCTGAAGGAAGCAATGCTAACTATACAGAATATGTGGCTACCAGGTGGTACCGCTCACCTGAACTCTTGCTTGGGTAAGTACAGTTTGAGAACTGCTGTAATAAAGCTTTACTGATTCCAGACAGTTTTTCAGCACCTTTTGTAAGTTTGTGGAGAGCTGTTTGATTTAAAAGCAAGATTTCAAAAGGCATCCAGATTTTCATTAAATTTTGTTCATTTCCAGTAAGTCAGTATGAATCATTGACATATTGACCTGTCTTGAGCTGAGCAGTGTTTAACTGATTAAAATATTAGGCTGGATTATAACAGATGTACTTCCAGCTACTGCACCCCCATCCCCAGTTCTTTCAGAAGAGGTTTCCATGGTAGTCCTCTAGCCTGGAATGTTCCATCAGCCCTGTATGGACATCACATAGTAATGGCAGTACAGCTTTCACAATGCAACATTCCAAGTTATCTTCATCTTTTGAGTCAGAAGTGTATTAGGAAGAAATTTTTTGCTTAGAGGTGGGGAAGCTATGGAACAGGTTGCCCAAAGAAGCTGTGTATGCCCCATCCCTGGCAGTGTCAAGACCAGGCTGGATGGAGCCCTGAGCATTCTGATCTAGGGGAAGGTGTCCTTGCTCAGGTGAGGGGGATTGGAATGAGATGATGTTCAAAGCTCCCTTTCAACCCAAAACTTGATTCTGTGCTTTGATTTTCGTTTGTAGTTACCATTTGCCAGCACTGCTGAAGTCATTCAAAAGGGATGGTGCTAGGTTTTTATTAGATAGGAATAATTTATTGAAGGAGGCTGGATAAATCATTTTAATAAAGCACTGAGAGGCTAACATTGCACTGACTGCAAAAGTATTAGTAACATGAGTAGCCTCAGCCAGAAAATTTAGTTTTACTCCTTTGTTCATCTGTAAAATGAGCATTTTACTACCTCACAAGGTAAACCAGATTTTGAGATGCTAAATGAACACATTCATAGGACCCAAAAGGGCAAAGGAAGAGATAAAAAAAAAGTAGAGGTCTATGATACGTGATCTTCCCATTACAGTCAAGTTAAACAGAGCATTGATCTAAACTACATGAATGCTTTCATAGAATACAATTCCAATGTACAGTGCATGTGTATTTATATATACATGTTCTTAAAATAAGGAACTATTAGCCATAGGATGAATGAAAAAAATTCTGGTCACTCCTAAGAGTCTTTAAACACCATGTTAAGTGCTCCTGGGAACCAAGTTTTTGTGGGAACCTTTGATTAACACTGAACTAGATATTTTTTGAACAGGTAAATAATTGAGCAGTAATTATTCTGTCAATAAAGTCGTCCCAGTATTCCCAGAGCTGTGCTAACCTTAATTAAATTAGTTGGCTGTTGTTTTCTTATGTTCATAATTGTAACTTAAAGTTGACATTAAAAAACTCAAAGCTCAATTTTTCATGTTTTGGAGAAAACAATAAAGCTTCCTGTGAAGTGTGTGTGCATATATAAGTATTAAAAAAAAGACTTGGAAAAATAGCATGAATTGTGACCTTTTGGAAACAAACAATTTTTTTTGGTCTCTAGTAGTAATGAGGATTTAGGAAGAAAGACATGAAAAGCTTGACAGACATAGTATTAGTCTGACCTGCAATTTTTGAGACTGTTTTGTTGGCAGAGCAAATTTAGCAGGAATTATATCTGTTTCTAGTTGTTTAAATCTGTTTGATTAACTTGTAGAGATAGGGAGGGGATTTGTGTGTTTAATGTTTCAGTTGTGCTGGTGTATGTTTTTAAAGCCAAGTTTTTCTGGCAAAGTGATGCCTGTTTCTTGGCAATCCTGTTCTGTTTCCCAGGCATACATCTTTCCCATTCCCTTTTCCTTGCATTTACCAAATTTTTATAAGCATCTAATATTCAAAAGTCTTCACAGGCTTATTAAATACATTCAATTTAACAAATACAGTTTTACTTTTTCAATTTTTAAAATGTGTCCCGGAGAGGTTTTTGTTTAGTGATAACATTCAAGACTTAAATTTCAGGAAAGGAAGGAAATTGCTCCCTAATTATTCACAGAACATCTAAAATCTACTCACTTTGGAGAGCCTCAGGTAACTGCTGTTAGTGGAGTACTCTGTACCCTTTGATGACAAAATATTGCTAAAAGCCAGTAGATTTTAAAGCATGCTAAATTACTAGATGGAAATATGTTTCAGAGAATCTAGTATGTGTAGGCATAGACTGTAGTGCTTCTGAGGTATGGTCTAAATGTCCTATAGGAGTTATTTCATTTGTCCAGCCATGTCACTTGCATTTTTTTGTCTGCTGTGATCTGGTGAGACTGATCCTGACAATCAGCAGAAAAGAAGTCTCCAGTTTGCCTTTTCAAGCAACAACGTTGCAGTTTGTGCTGCAATTTTTGGATTTGTTTCTGTTTGACTACAGAATAAATAATGAAAAAGTTCTTAGCTGTAGTTCAGCTTCCTTTATGCTTGAGAACAAGGAAAGGTAGTGGTCCATGCCTCAAAGGAGTTTTAGCCCATCCCTCAGTTGCAACCCTAGTTTATTCTACAGCACCCCAGTCTACAGCAGCCTTTTCCCCATTTCACATTTTAGTGGAGAAAACCGTGTATTAAAGGAGTTGCAAACAAAGATGTATTTAGGTTTTTGTCATAATAAAAGGGTAGGATTTTTACCTTCACTCTCACTGTTTTGCCTACAGAGCCTCAGTTTCCCAGCAGAGGCACAGAATATTTTAAGAGAAAAACCTTGGCTTTGGAGTCCATTCTTGCCTGTGTTGTTATTTTTTTTGAGCACTGTGAAAAAAACTAGGCCTTGTCCTTCTGACCTAATGGGTGGGTTGTACTAGCAGCATCCTAGGAAGGTCAAAAATCAGCATCCTAGAAAGGCTTTCAGCAAATCCACAGGGAGACACTGTGCAGGATTAGTAAGCAAATTATGAACCCCACCGAGTAGTAATGGTACTTGAGGAATTGTGACATGGTCAACTTTGCTTCTGGTTCCTTGTCAGCAATCTCTTCCAGTGGGGCAAACTTTTGATTTTGTGATGGTTGTGAGAGAACTACAGTGTCTCATGGCACATTTTCTAAGGCAAGTGGTTCTTGAAGTTTTGGTGCCCTACTTCAGCTTTCCCAGCTACCACAGAGTCCTGCAGCAGTCAGCTCAGTGAGCCTGTGGTTTCACTCGGGCTTTTGTCCAGCTAGAAATGCTTTCTCACCTTCACCTAGCCAAATCACCATAAGGGTTTACTGGTTCTTCTGGCCAAGTGCCCTCCCCACAAGTGAAGTAAATCATCATGAGTAACCAATGGGGAAGAGTCAAACATTTTATTTTCTTAGTTTGAGGATGTTCTTTCTCTAAACATCATTAACAGCAGCATAAAGAAGGAGTGAAGGAGACATTTAGGATAGGATTTGTCGCATGCGACTCTTGATGCTGTCTTATTCCAGAAAAAGGGAAGCCAGCTGTAACTTAAATCTCTTGAAACAGAGTTTGAGTTACTGGATTACAAGTTTCAATAAGAAGAGACTCAGTAAAATATGTTTTCAGTTCAGTCTTTGTTACAGTCTTTATTTTTTTTATATGCTGGTTTTTTGACATGAAAAGAATTCTCTGTTATTCTGTTCAAAACCTAAACATTGGAAAGATATTATTAGAATAATATGGGTGTTTACAGATTTTCTGTACTAATTCAACAAGCAAGAATTTGAGTGCATAAAAAAGAGTTCTCCCCAATCCCCAGTCAGTGGCTTTGGTCCCAAAAAGGAATTACTTTATGATGCTTTCGTTGCTTCCTCACTTGTTTTTAATAAGGAATACTTTTCAGGAGCACTCCGTTTCCTCAGTAATTAAAATTTTTGTGTATAAATGCTGAAATAAAGATTTCTTGGAATTTCTCTTTTTCCAGTGGCCAGACCCAGTATGCCCATCCACCTGTTAAGCACAATCAAACAAGAAATGCAATGCAGGAACAGAGTGTAGGCATGAGCTCTAGAGAGAAGGGAAGTTCATGGTAGTTTAACTGTGAGTGGAGAATGCTTTGCAGTCAAAAAGATTATTCTTGAATGTAAGATTTTTCAAAAAAAACAAGGTCCCTGGGGGAACTTGAGAATTCCTGTCCTTCCTTTTCAAGCAGTGATAGGTCCATCAGGAAAATCTAGGGCAGAAACAGAGGGTTTGGTTTTTGAGGTAGTTTGCTTAATAACAAAGTTTATTTTTCTGTGTTATGAGGAAGTGTGCCATGGGAAATGTGGCCAATAAATTGAAGCAGCTGAGTAAGAAGTCAGTGGCAGTGGGTGACAAACATTTTATTTTCACTTGACAGAGCCCCTTATGGGAAGGCTGTGGATATGTGGTCTGTAGGCTGTATCCTGGGGGAGCTGAGCGACGGGCAGCCCCTGTTCCCTGGCGAGAGTGAGATTGACCAGCTCTTCACCATTCAGAAGGTGCTAGGCCCACTGCCAGCCGAGCAGATGAAGCTCTTCTACAGCAACCCACGCTTCCATGGCTTGCGGGTAAGAGAAAGCTTTGTTCTTTTCTTCTTATTTTTCTTGTTTATTTGCGTGAAGTGCTGCAAAGGTTCTTTTCATTTACGTTGTGCATTATCTACTGCCTACGTTTCTGACTAAGTATAGGATGTATAGAATGTAAGGCATTCATAAGTCAAAGTAAAATTCTGATTACACCAGAAGTATTATAAATGCATTTGTTTTCTTGTTAAAAGTTGTTTAAAGATATTCTTTAATTTCTTTGATATTTTTGGCATGCAATTGACCTCTTATACCCAATCTAACATTGCCCTGCCAGGTTTGCACTGTAAAGTTTAGTGGCAAATGTCTGTAAGGTCAGGTTGTAGAAAATTCAGGACTGCTGTCTTCAAGTTAACTTGTTGAGAAAATCTGAGCTATAGATGCTACTATCACGGAAGAAGAGCTTTCAGTCTTTTGACTTCCTGGGGAGTTTATGTAAGTCTCCTAAGTAAAAAAGCTCTTCCTACTGACAGCATTGTTCTTTTCAAGGGTTTGTCAGTATGATACGATGACAGAGACTCATTAGTGTGAAGATCTACGCAGGCTGGCATATGCAATATGACAAAATACCAGAATTAATAAATAATAGTTCTGTTACTTTTAACAATACCTGGTCAGTGATTGTACTCATGTTTCCTTGTAATTCAGTTTTGGTTGTCCTTTCTTTATTGATGAATGTTGCTTAGAAAGGTGAGTTTATGATCTTGATAATATTCTGAAATCATTAGTGTAAATAATATAAGGTGACATCTGAACGTTTTAGGAGACCTGAGCTGTGCTAAAGATTCAAGATCAGTTTTACTCTGAGAAAGAGAAAATGTGAGAATGTGAAAGGGAATTAGTGGGGATGCAGTTCTGTTAAAACATGTTCAGAGTTGCCATAAATTTGGTTTAGCTGACAATGATAAGAAAAGAGTTGGATTAAGGTTTTAAGGTAATTATTTTAGGTATAAGGATAACTAATTCTGAAGAGTTTTTGCTGAAGTTTGTAGACCCTTCAAAAGTGGAGGGTTTAAAGAAAACTATTAGACAAGCAAAGTCCTATTTGTATTTCACCCTGTTTCAAACAGCGGGCTGGATGGGGTTTTTGTATGAGAAACTAAAATTTGCTTTAAAAATTGTAAGCCATGTAAATTACTACCTCTTCAATGTTATTTTACAGCATTTCTGGTTGTGCAGTGTAATCTTCTTTGGATAAATGTTCAGTGATGTCTTAAGATGAGGATGAAGTATCTTTGTTCTGTAGCTTTGAAATACAGTAATTCAAGAAGACAGCACGGACCTAATGTGATTAGCACAAGGTTCAGAGTTATGAGTTCTCATCCCGGATCAGTGGTTTATTGCTTGGCCTCAGACGTGTTCCTGCCTTCTTAGTCCTGTCTGTAAAGTCAGGATACTGCTGATGTGGACAGGGCCATATGGCTCCTCATAGAGAGTATTTTTTAGAACTGAAGTAAAAGTCTGAACAATGGCTTAAACATAAAAAATACTACAAAAATATTTTTTTGAAATATGACATTCATTAGTTAATTCATGGGAAAAACTTACCCTGTGCTATCCGACAACCTTAAAAGTACATTTTTTCTGAATGTAGCATAGTGCTTAATAATGAAAGATTTTCTGTTGCAGAGCAGATAGTAGGTATGCTGTGATCAAGCCAGTTATTACTTACAGCCTGAATTTGGTGGTGGATATTCTCAAGATAGAAACTAGCCCATGATTTGGAATTTTTTATCCGTATGCTTAGACTTCATGAATTTCTACATTACCCTAAGTGAATACTACCATATTGTAAAACAGGATTTAAAAAATTCTCTTCAGACACTCCAGTATGGATCCAAATGCACATTTACAAACTTTGTCTTTTCTTTCTACTCATATCCTCCATATATATGTATATAACACAGTTCTCCTAGCACCTGAGGTTTAGGGAATATTTAGTGATCTCTCTTCAATTCTTTTGAGGAGGAAAACATCCAGGGTATGTTGAAGACTAAGGAAGTAAAATAAAATGGGATCAGAAATTGCCAATAGGCTCATGACTTTAAAGAAAAGTGTGACTGGCAATGTAGGGCTATAAATATTTTTTCTGCCAAAAAGTTCCATGAAGAATCTGAACAATTACAGTGAAAAGTCCCTGGTGCTTTGCACAGCTTCAGCACATTTTCCTGTTTCCCTGATCATACTAGCTATAAAAGCTTCTTTATGAATGTCACTCTGCAGGAAGACATGAACATTTTACAATTTTATGTGAAAATTGGAGGAAGCATGGAAGCCTTGATTTACCTGAGTTACTGTTTAAAATCAATATAGCAGACGTGGACTTCAAAAAATTCTCAGTTATTAGTAAACCACTTCTAAGCAAAGCAAAGTAAAAAGAAAAATAATTAGACTATTTAAGAATAAAAGCATTTAAACTAATGTTCTTCCATTTTTCTTCAAAGTTCACACAATATAATTTATGAAAAGTAATACTAGTACAACTAATGGATGTCCCCAGCAGTGTGCACTGCTTCTCATGGTGCTGCCAGCAGCATAACCATGCTGCTGTTACCAGCAGTAACCCTGAAACTTAAACCTTTGAACTTTTGCCTTTTTTCACTAAAAACACTTAGGAATTATTTGTGAATGTTTAGTATTTAATTAGTACTGTATTTGTACTCTCAAATTCTCGCTGGCTATTTTTAACCTTTTTTGTTATAAATATGTTACTTACGTTAGTTCTGAATCTGTTCTAAACTTCCTGTCAATCATAATGCCATAAAAAAAATTAAGTTGATTATTTCTCACTTGAGAGTGGTTTCTTGGCTGCCCTAATAATCAATAATATTTTGGTTGACTTGATTTGACTACATGTTTATCATACATCAAGAGTTACTTGTTTCACTATAGTATTTTATGGTTTTCAAAAACCACTAACTTTTTCAGTGCTTATGATTCCCATTAATTACGTGCCTTGATTCACTAGTTTCTAATTTTGAAACATTGTATTCATGTATTGCCTTCTTTAAGTGATCAGTGTATTTACAGTGTATTTTTTACAGTTTCCAGCAGTCAATCATCCACAGTCTTTAGAGAGAAGATACTTGGGAATTTTAAGTGGTGTATTACTTGATCTTATGAAGGTAGGAAAATGTCTTTTATTTTCTGTCTGTAATATGTAGGAAAATACAGAAGTGACTTTTTGCCTTTTTTGCTTAATATAATGCATCTTAGAAAGGCTTGGGCATTCCCTTTTGAGGTATTTTGATTCCACCATTGTTTGTAGTAAGGCTTGGTGTTTGCTAGGAAAATATCCCTTGCAAATTCCAGGAGAGTCTGTTCAATTTTAACTGATTTGATAAAGAATATATGTAGCCCAGACTTTCATCATTTCATCAGAATGCTTTCATCATCACCATCCTTTGCAGGACTGTGCATTCACACTGACATCCATGCAGAGGCTCTGACTGATGGAGTGTGAGCTCTCAACCCATCATATTTAGATACATCCAGAGTATTGGTCTAACCTGGGTTGTTTTTCATTTGTTGTTGGGTAAGTGTGAGGATGTGGACAGTTGTCAAAGACAGAGTTGACACACGGGAGTTTTGTGTCTTTATCCAAACTCTTAATCTGCTTGCTCTCACCTCTGCCCAGTGTGTTAGGTTACTCTTCAGTCCTGTTTTGGAACAAGTCAGCTAGTTACACGTGACCAAGCTAAGTTATGGTCCTGAGAGTTCTTAGGGGGAATCAGGAGAATCATTCCCCACAAAAACACTGTGCTATGCATTTGTGCCATTTGTTCTGGGTAGGGAACACGTGTTGTTGTTCTTACTACTGTACTATAAAAACATTCCCATGGTAAGCTGCAGTACAACCCTCACATCGTTTCATCCCCAGTAAGCTGAAGAAAGAGGTTGTAGTTTCCAAAATTAGGTTTAGAATCACAGAACCACTTAAGAATTAAAGGCAATATGGGACACACATGAAGCGTGGATATGGCTAATCAACTCTGAATGACTTGTATGATCCCAAACCCCTCTGCACCAGTTGTCATGGAAAACAAAGATGCTTTGGGATATACTTGGGTATTTGCTTTTAGTAGTTGTAGCCAGCAGAAATCCATATAATTTGTTCTACTCTTCTTCAACACAGCCAGTTCAAATCCCTTTGATCTGCTTGCTTTATGAAGAGAGTCAGCATGGCTTTTATCTTGGTTTCAGGGAGTCTGAAATATGATATACTCCAGTGCATATGATTACTTGTTTTGGTATTACACTTTCTCCTCTATTTTCCAATTCACAGAAACTTTTTTTCATACTTAGCTGTAGCTCAAGATCTGGTAGCATATGTTGCAGAAAGGAAATTTCAAGATCAGTCTTAAGACCATCATTACATGTACTGGGAGAGGGTTTATTTTCATTTTATCCTAGATTTTTTTAATATTTCAGTGTCTTTTAGGTTCTTTTGATATGATTTAAAAGTTGCTAAGTTGTGATATGAAGCACAGGAGTTTTAGGGGAACACAGGTTTCCAAATAATTTCATTCTTCTCATATTTTCTGTTCATGTTTCTGGCTACAAGGTGAGAAAGGTCAGGGATTCTGTAGAAGGGATATTTTGTGTTTGACCTGCATTTCTTAACTGGTGAATTGGAACCTTGTTAAGCAATGAGCAGAAGCCTACTAGGAGAGAACAGAAGGGAATTGAGGTTAAGTTGCATGTTGCAAATGCTGCACATACTTTGTTGTGTGCCTGTCTCTTGTGCAAACAATGGACAGTCTGACACATGTCCACACTTGCTGTGCTCCTCATTATCTGCATTCCCAGGGACCACAGGTCGGATTACTAGATTACTGAATAACCCACACTTCAGTTTGTGCCAACTGAAGTAGGGAGTTATTAATATATATCTATTTAGATCTATTTAGAGAGTATTTCTGGACTAGATTAATGAAGAGGCATCAATTTGAGCTTGTTGCTTTGTTGTTGCTCCAGTCCTCTGCTCTCCTTCACAAGTCATTTGGTATGCAAGCATTAGGGAGTCAGGAACTGGTTTTGCATGTTATGACTTGGGGAAAAAAAAGACATTGAGACTCTCTTTTTTATATCATCTGCCATTCAATTGTCTCTGCCATTCAGCATCAGACATGTATTACCTCTGATCTTGTTTGCTAAAGAGAATACCTGTAGAACTCTTTCTTTCTACCCTTGAATTTCTTCACTTGCCGTAGCTGGACTTCAGCCTTCTGAAGTGGCTTAACCTTTGTGCTGCTTTTAAAGTCCACCTTTGTATCCTGCCCTTCACTCTGGTTCTCACACACTGCTGTTTTGCGTTTTTGTTCATTGGGAAACTCCTTGTTTAGCCAACCTGAACCTTTGAAAAAGCTTTTGGTCTTCTATACCATAAGATGCTTTGTTCCTGAACTCTCAATAAATTTTCTGTAAAAATCAATGGCTGTCTTGGATACTTCTCCTCTTATGGTAGATTTTTAGGAGATTCTTCCCAGTAATTCCTTATAAAAAATGGAATTTGCTTTCCTGAAGTCCTGGGTCTTATCTCTGATGTTTATCTTCCCACCTCTTCTTTCAGTCCTAACTGTAATCATCTCATGGTTGCTACAGCACAGAGTGTCTTCTCTTATCAGATTTCTCACCAGTGCTTTAGCAGCAGCTCAGGTAAATTGAAATCCTCCCCTTGGCTAATTTGCCTCTCCAGCAGCTGCACTAGGAAATTTTCACCAACACAGTCTAAAAATCTCCTGGAACATGTACACAGGCTGGATGTCAGGATAGCTGAAGTCTGCTATGAGGATGAGGATCTGTGACCAAGAGACTTTTGTTGTTGTTGTTGTAGAGAGTTTTTCTCTTCATCACCTTCATGCTCTTCAATTCATTGTTGGTAACAAACCCCCACCGTAACATAACAAATGTTGCCTTCCCTTCTAATCCTGACCTAGAGATTGTCAATGGATAAACCTGTTGTTCCATGCTGACATTGGATGTCAATTATATGCAGTGTTACTCTTCTCCCTCTCCATCCCTTCCCTCTCCAACTGAGGTTGTACCCATCAGTGACCATGCCTCAGCCATGAGCCCTGTCACACTTCTTTGTGATTCCAGGCAGATCCCCAGCCTTGTGGTAACCTATGGACTTGCAGTTCTCCTTGCTTGTCGTCCAGCCTGTGTAAGGTTGTGTACAGGCACTTGTGAGAAGCCTCTAGACATCCTCTTTTCTGAGGGGGAGTGTAGGAATCACATGTGGCCTTCCCAAGTTTGTTTGGCTTTTTGAGCCACTGTAGTGACAAGCACCAGAAAAAAAGGGTGAAATAAGTTGTTAATTATTTAGTACAGTTTGTCACTTGAGAAAGAAAGATGCTGGATACTGTATGACCGAACTGCGTAGGAGTTTGGTTTGCCACTTGTTTTGTTTCCTCTGAGTTTTTTCCATTTTGAAGTGCAGGGATCCTGTGCAGGGAAAACCAGTTTGTGGTCAAGTGGCTGAATGTGGTGTTTATGTAGTGTGTGTGTGTATGCATGTGCATAGACAGACATAGATTTCTTCTCTCTTAAACATATGCAACCCTTAAGAAATAGCTCTTGTTTTTACTTTATAGCCATTCAAACTTTTAACCTTGCTAACAGTCATGCATGTTGAAATATTACAATGTAAGCTTTGTATTGTTCTTTTCCTGCAAGAAACCTTTCAAACTTCCCAAAATACCCAAGATCCTGTTTTCAGTTTCATGATTAAATATTTTCTTCATGTCAGGAAGTGTCTTTCTTTACAATCACAGCTGATCTAACAGAATTATAAGGCAAGTGTTAAATGCATTGTAAACAGCTTAGAGAATTTTTTGAAACTATGGGCGGACTTGAACCCTTTAAGCTAAAACCAGAACTCTTACATTTATGTATTTTTAAAAATACTAACTTTAAAATAATGTTTGTTTTTGCATAAGAATGTTCCCATATGGTTGTTTTGTTTTTAAAGCCTGTTTCATTGTAGCAATTTAATAATTGGTAAATATAATATTTTTGATTCTAAACAGTGTTGTATATCCTGAAAAATATGTTTAAAATGCATATACTTAAAACATATAGATATATTTAAAACATACTTTAAAAGTTTTAGATGTCTTTGTATTTTAAACATACTATAATATATGTGTACCTAACATTATATATGTATAACATGTTAACACATACATGTGTTTATTTTGTATATGAAGTTTAATGCACCATGAAATTATTCTAGCAGTGACATCTAATTCCAGAAACTCTGGATATTACAAAATTATCCCAATAATGTTCTTTATTTTGTCGGGGATTTTTTGTTTGGTTTGGTTTGATTTTGGTTTTAGTTTTTGGGTTGTTGGTTTGGGTTTTTTTTGCTAATGTAAATACAGATACTAACATTTAAACTTTGGGATTTGTTTTTCAAAGAACTTACTGAAGTTAGATCCAGCAGATAGATATTTGACAGAACAATGTTTGAACCACCCTTCGTTTCAAACCCAAAGACTCTTGGATCGCTGCGGAAGTTCACCTTCACGGTCAGCTAAGAGGAAACCTTACCATGCAGACAGCAACACTTTATCCAACAGGTAAATGCAGTCTTGTCACTGTTAGCACTGATGTTTGCTCTGCCACTGAGTGAGTTGTTTCTGTGCTCACATGCAGCATCACCTACAAGAAAAGTGTCTGTTTGGCAGCTTAGGCACACTGAGACATGTTGTATGCTGTTCTGTGTTGCCTCACTGAATAAAGGAAGCAGACATAGTATTTACAGCTACAAAAGCTGAAATTTTTGCTAACTTTCTGCATCAGGCTGAATGCATCTTAAAAAAAAAGCTAACAAGATAATGTTGCATATGATGAGAAAAAATAATTGGCTGATCCACCTTAAAAAAATATTAGTCTTTTTATTGAACAATAGGAATTTTGTGGCTTGGAAGATGCCCAAGATTCCAAAGGAATGCTCTTTTCTTTGGAATGCTACCATTGCTGTATATGTACAAATCTGTCCAAGATTTTGATATTTAAAAGCTTAAAGTTCACACAGATTTTTTTAGCAGCTAAATGTTCTAAAAATTTTGCACATTGATCACATTCCAAATTGGAGATGAGCAGAATTTTGTCTGCAGTTCCAATTGTGGATCAGGTCTAGTCTATTTGATCTCAGACTCAAAGCAGGATATGTTTGCTCAGTGACTCCTTTGCTGGACCCACATAGCTTGAGAGAGGTCACTTAATTTTAGTACTTCAATGAACCAGGTTTACTGGTGGATAAAATACTTCAGTACAAAAAGCTTCATGCTATTGCTCCAATAAATGCGTTCATAAAGGTCTCCCTCTGAAGTATGCAGAATATTTTAATATTCTGTATGCAGGCTTTTAATCCTGGCCATGTTTTTTTTTAGCTTATCCTATGAGATTCAAAAAATTGCTCCTCTATTTTAAGACTTGGGATGATGAGGTTCCCAATCTATAATTTTTCAAAGATAGATGCCAAAAAGTTTTAGCTGCCTTTACAGATGCTTAGAGTAGAAGTTTTACTATTAGACATGTGGCATCAGAAAGAAAAAACTACATCCACTGGAAACTTGTCCAAAAGGCTTTCCTAGGAAAAATACTAGGTTTTTCGTATCTCTAAGTTTTTTAAAAATATACTTTCTGTTAACTGAAAGACATTTTAAGTTGGCATTAAAATTGCTAAAGTTTTAGAAACTGTAGTGAAATAGATTATGAGATCACTGGGAGTGGTTAATACAAAAATCTTAGGTATAAAAACGGCTAGCATTATCCCATTATAATTAACAAAAAGATCAACCAAAGGTACAGTGAGCTCTCACTTCAACCCTCGGTAATATATCTGAGTTACATCATAGATTTATTACAAAAATAAGTTAATTGCTCAGAGCCTGGCTAGGTCCATCAAGGGAAACAAGCACAGCTCCAGCACTGCTCAGTCTTGGCTAGTTTGCAGTGCCAGCCTAAGTCCAGAAGCAGAACTGGTTTAATGCCAGAATGAGATAATAAATCCTGCTCAAAAAAAATCAGGATTTGCAGGACCAACTCACATCTCAGTCCTGTAATCCCAAAACCAGAAGAGCTAGGACATGAAAGTCAAGGGCACAACCAAGTAGCTCTGCACTGAGTCAGTCTGGTTGCAGAGCCTTTCAGGTGCAGCTTTGGCATGAGCTAATACACCAAAAACTGGGATAGTGCCAAGTTCCAAAAAAGCTGTCTTCCTGTGGTAAACCTGGTTTTGGGTTTGGTGTTACAGGACTTGCTCTGGCTCACCCCCTCTGAACAATAACCTTTTCCCCTCCTTTCCTCTCTCCTCCCCCTCCAAACCAGGAATATACTAGCTAGCCTGGAGCATTGATTGTATCAGGGTTTTTCAACAGTGCTGACATATTTGATTGCTCTACCTTCCTTTGATATGCCAGGTGTATTTAAGATTTTTTCAATTGATATACAGTTAATTTTCATAATGTAATGTTTCACTTAGTGTTATACTCACATAGTATAAGCTTACATGCATAAATGTGCCAGTATATGTTGGAATTTCCATGATTACATTTGATACCTTCAGGGTTTTTGTCAGCAAAATCATTAACCAAAGCAGAGTTTGCCATCAGATTATAACCAGAAACAATGATGTACAAACGCTTACAAATCTGTTATTTTAGTGGAGTTTCTGGTGCCTCAGTTGGCAATATTTGGTCTTACTGCAGTTAAATGTTGTGGTTTTAAATGGTAACTGAAATGGGTGTACTTTTTTGAAGTTATTAATACATGAATAAGTAATTTGGCATACTAATGCTTCTTTATGCATTTTAATATAGAAATCAAGCCAGCAAAAGTTCTGCTTTGCAGTCACACCACAGATCAAACAGCAAGGATATGCAGACACTAGGGGCTGGCGGGCCAAGAGAAGAGGGGCTTCCAGCAAATGAAAGCTTTTTAAATGGAAACCTTCCTGGACCTGCACCTAGTCCAATGCATGCAAAAAAACCGAGCAACACACCTGGATCTGGCAACAAGGATATAGCCAATAATAACATGCCGCACCTTCTCAGCCCAAAGGAACCAAAGGGAAAAACAGAGTTTGATTTTAACGTGGACACCAAAAGTTCTGATGGTTCAGGCACAAAGTACCTGAAGTCTAACACCAGATCTCAGCAGAACCGGCACTCCTTTATGGAAACTTCTCAAAGCAAAACTGGGACGCTGCAGCCCGGCGACAAGCACAGTCGCCACAGCTACATCGATACCATCCCACAGTCTTCTAAGAGTCCCTCCTATCGGACAAAGTCCAAGAGCCATGGAGTTCTGACAGACTCAAAATCTGTGGGCAACCTTTCTGAGGCCAGGGCCCAAGCTGCAGAACCAAACACCAGTAGGTATTTTCCATCCAGTTGTATGGACTTGAACTCTCCTACCAGTCCAAGTGCTCCCCGGCACAGTGACAACAGAACTATGCTCAGTCCATCCGCGAGGAATAACCGCAGCGAGGGTACCCTGGACACCCGAAGACCACCAACTAGACACTCCAAAACAATGGAGGAGTTAAAACTGCCAGATCACATGGATGGAAGCCATTCCCACTCTCTATCTGCTCCACATGAATCTTTTTCCTATGGTCTAGGTTATACCAGTCCTTTTTCTTCACAGCAGCGCCCTCATAGACACTCTATGTATGTGAGCCGGGACAGAGTGAGGTCAAAGGGCTCAGAGGGTGGCTTAAGCGTAGGGCAAGGGATGGCAGCCAGAGCAAACAGCCTGCAACTGTTATCTCCACAGGTGCAGCATAAGTCACTCACAAGGTCTGTTGGCTCATCACGAGAAGACTGTACTGAAGATTCTAATAGGGTTAGTCAAAAATATTGCCTCTTATTTGAAGGTTTGCCTTCCTCTTTTTAACTCGTGTGGAGGCAGTAGCCTGCTTTCTGTCTTCTGTTTGTTTCTTTGCAGTTACTCATTTATTTGTCTTGTAAGGCCTGGGGATATTGTTTGGGGGCTTTTTTTCTGAAGGGCTGAACATTTCAAGGTACTTTTAAAAAATGGACTGTGAATTCCATTATCTGAAAGTAGTGAAATGTGAGAACGGAAGAATTGTCTCTGAAGTTAAAATTTCATTAGTTGTGTTTAGTCCTTGGTTACATGGTCTGATGTCCCTTTTACTGTATCGTTTTGCTTAATTATCTTTCTCATTTGTGTTTTTATTTAGCTTTTCCTATATGTATTTCTGTTATGAATGCTAATGTTAATTTTTGAAGCCAGTGTTTCATTCAGGTATAGCAGGACATTATTGCTGAAATCCCCTAATTTACTAAGGAAATATCAAAGCTTGCAGTATTTCTTTAGATTGGTATAAGTAACTGGGGTAATCTAGAGATTTCATGTTGTAGTGGCCACTGGTAAATTGACTCCTGTCAGTGGATACCTGGTTGTTTTTCTGTGAGCATTAATTAAAGAGTAGAGGATGGGCTGGTTCTGGTGTTGATTTACATTCGTTACACAACACTTCTGAATTATCTCATGTTTTACACATCAGATATGTAAAGATGACTGTGTTTGTCCTCAGAGCTTTAAATTCCTATATTAACAAAATGGTGCAGAGACAAATACAAAAATGAGTGTTTGTTTCTCTATGGCTACACCTGTGATAAACTGAATTCTAAGGAGAGAACATCTAGTTCAGATTTGTTGACAAATTGAAGAAAGGCAAAATGCTGCAAGCTTTAAGGTCCAAAGATTATATATTATATATATATTATATATTACTCTGAGAAATTAAAATACTCTGCCTACTTAGTAGTTAATCTAAGAAATATGTGTAGCTGACCTAATAGGGGTCTTACAAGTACCATAAAAAGGAGAGTTTTAGGTAGTGGGTTGTCTCCTCAGACCAGTAGAGAAAAAAAAAAGACATAAAATGTTTTATCATTCATAGCACATCTTCTCCATTCAAGATTGTGTAGTCAAACCTGAGAAAATACTAAAATAGAAGTGCAATGGAATAGTAATTTTTAAAAAGCTACCTAGAAGGAATTGCCAGCAGCTCCATTTCAAAACCAGTTTTTTTCTGTGTACTTATTTTTCTATCTTTCTCATTTCAGTCAAATTAAATGTTACTTATTCTTCAGGACATTACTTGGAAGGGCAGTAATATCAGCATTTCAGTTTTTGATTACAGAAGGTCACACTGCCTTGTGTCCTTCAGTTCATTTTCTGCATTATGCAGCAGAAAGTAATTTGAAGTAATTAAAATTTTATTTCCTACTATTTAGAGGCCAGTTTTTTTTACTGGAACATTATTTGTCTTTGAATATTGGTTGACAGATTGTTATTTTAATTAGCAAAATCAATGTGTATTGTAATGCTTATGTTTTTGTTCATTTTCACCTGCTTTGGAAAGTCTGTTCATGCAAGATAAAGAACTTGCCTTTATCACTTATGGTCATTATTTTTAAAACTTCAGCCTTTACTTAGTGCATTTAAATCTGTATTTCAACCATTAGAAGTGTGAAAGGAAAATTACTTTTCTGAAATGGATGTTAAATCTGTGAATTCAAAAAGCAGTTTTTTATTTGTTTGTACTGCTTCCAGTAGCAAAATCAAATTGTCAGTCTTCTTGTGCCTCATAAAGGCATTTTCACTAAGAAGTCACTTTGGCTCATTTCCCCCCCCCACAACTTTTTTACATTATGCATTAGGAATCAGAAAATTCACTCCCCTCAGAATTAGTGAACTAAAAGACTCATTAATAATACGTGTTCTCATAGATTCTTTACTGTTTTCATACTTATTTTTTCTGATCAGTTCTCCTGGGTTTTTTTTTCTCTGCTCGTATTTTGTGAAGTTTCCTCACTTCCATGTTTCTAATTCCTCACTGATTTTCATTTTAGCTCTACCAAGTCTTTTCAAAGAAAAACAGTATTTGTCTGCAGAGCTTCAAAACTTATTTAAAAAAAAAAAAAAAAACCACCAAGAAAAAATTCTCATCCAGCCTTAGTTTTAGGACTTTTCAAGTCTCAGCACAACAGTTTTGTTTTAAGGGGCTTTTTTTACATTTAAATTAAATGTACACAGAAAAGGGTTAAGCGGAAGAAAATCAAATACAAGTTGCTATTACTGTCTTGTGTTTGAAATTTAACTGCTGATAAATAAGAGGTATCTCATGCAAGTAGTAATTCAATCAAATGCTTCAGCCTCTGGTAAATTTTAGAAGAATCCAACTGGGATTTGAAGCATTACTTTAGCTGCAGTTCTGGTCTTGGTTTCAAGGTTTGTTTTCTCTGTGACAGCAAGACCAGATCTTCATCTGCAAAAAGCAAAGTAGATTTTGCAAATCACTTGTCCAGTGAATTCAAATCCCAGTTGTTAATTTTGGTTAGGTTTTTTTGTGGCTTTGGTTTTTAACCTTTGTCCTGCTTAGACATTCTAGATTTCAGTTTATACAGGGGTTTCAGTAGTTTCCTGTGAGGTCTTGGAGAGAGCATTAAATTTCATGTGGTCAGTCCATACTGAGGGGAAAATTGTAGCTTCTGATTTATTTGAGAGTGGGGTTAAGTCATATTTGTGCATAAGGATGTTTCTAAGGGCTCACCTAAACTTCTACTCGAAGTACTGCCAGGAAGTGCTGTTTTCAGGAAAATAGAATAAATTAGAGGTAATGATATGCTTTTTGCTATCCTGTCTGACTGAAGTACTTTGTCTATAGATTTCTTAGGTCAGCAGCATTCAGAGACATTCTTATTATTTCTGTATTATTTTGCATACAGTAGATTTTGTGACTGTTGGTAGCTCTAGGTAATGATGTTAAGAGATGAGAGATGATAAGAGATGATAGTGCTGTGGTGTTGCGATTATCACGAATTAGATGCATTCCTGTCTGCTTTTTAAAGTTTGCCAGTAGCAGCAGAGTGACCAGATTACATCAGAAATTAATTTAACAAGCCTCCAGTAAAAGATTCCTCCAGAGATTTTACAGTTGCATTTCATTCAGGTTGAAAATCTGAGGGCCTGAATCAGATTCATGTCTTTAAAGTTACAACCTAGAGGCAAAATTTTGTTAATGCCGTTTTTGTCATTTTAAAAAGAAGCAAGCAAGCAGCAAAATCAAGTAATTATTGATTACATAGTCTGTGATTTTATATTTGCAGTTAATAATAATATGAAAGGAAAACTGTATGGTGAATTTTGGAGTTTTCTTGCTTTTGTATGTTGGTTAAAAACTGCAAACCAGTTTATAATCTTTCATTTTAAATAGTTTATTGCTCTTTTGCATAGGGTGGAGCATATCATGATCCACACACAGAAGATGGAGCATCTACTAAGGAGAATAGAATTCTGTATAATGACCCTGTTCCGAGAAGAGTTGGCAGCTTTTACAGAGGTAATTTCATGGTGGATCTTTCAAATTTAATCAAGAATTTTAGAATGGAATATAAATTAAGTAGTAGAAATTGATACAGAGAATTAGCATGAGCAACTACGAAAGTTTATTGGAAAAATAATTGTTTCTCAGCTTTCACAGGGTGAGTTTACCTGCTAGGTTGTTTGCAGGAACTGCATTGGTTCCATATTGTTTATTTGTAAATGATAGCTCACATTAATTGGAAAGTATATCCACTGCAGTACCTTGTAAAGCAGTATATAATTTAACAGGGCAAAATAAAAAAAATAAATTAATATAAACAAAATAAGCAGTTAATTAATATTTTTAATTTTTATTTTCAATTCTTATAAAGAGTCTATTTACACCTATGCATTTATAGCACATAGACATACTTACTGACCTGTTTCAGATACTGTGTTGCATGGAAGTGTAATGCTAACTTTGTATGGCTGGAAACCTGTGGAATTCCTTTTGTTAAGACTTACTTAAGATCAGGATTTCCTACAAACAAGAGCATGGTTACATAATTCCAGTTCAGAATAAATATTAAAACAGGTCTGTGTTTGGACACACACAAATACATACTGTTCTATTATGGCACACAAAAGAAGGTGATTTCTCAGCAGCTGCCTCATGGCTAAACCTTGGTAATTGCTTTGAAAAAGATGATAAGAGGCTAATTACTGTCCTGCAAGTGTTAGGAGGCTTATGGGGCTCCTCTGAACCTTAAGAAGTCCCAGTCAGCTAAAATTCGATTATGAGTCACCTAATAACCTTAAGTAGAGTCACAAATCTCCCTCTGATCCTCTTCAGGTTGATCGGTTGGCTGATGACCTGATTTAGACACGTTAAAATCTGACAATCCTTGCAAGTGTCCCACTGCAATATTAAAACCTGTGAGCAGAATTAAAGCTTGTACTGTTTGAGCAATTCTTTTGAGTGTTTTTGTTGCAAATGCAACAGGGGATGCTTAAGAATTCTCAATCCTGAATTGCTTTCATTAATCCCTAAAAAGCTCCTAAAATTGGACATGGATTATCCATCTTTTTTATACACAGTAAAACAAAAGTTCCAAAGAAGAATGACTTTTCATAAGTCATCTGCTAAAGAAACTGTGGGTCTGGGATTTATTCAACTCTTTATTATAAACATGAGGGTTTTTCCTCTTCAACTTTATCTATCAAATATATTTTAGATGGACTTTTTTTGCTTTGAGAAATGATGCTATATTTAAAATAATACATTGTTATTACTATATGCAAAATTGGCAATAATAGTATATGCAAATTACTGTGAACAAGGTAAATCCTTTTTTATATAATGTTAACCTTTGTATTAGCACAGTATTTATTAGCATATACTTTTGTACTACAGCTTGAACAAAAACTTACAGATGCTGTTTTGATAGATTGTGTAATGTGATGCTGCATTAATGTTCCAGCTACTGTCTGGTCAATTTTTTATCCAGTGCAGGTATCTCTAGTGATATTCATAATTCTAATAAATTTATGTTCTAGATCTGTATATAGTTGTGTATTTTCAAAACCACAATATGTCTGTCTGAAAAATACATATCTGATTTTGATGTTTTAATTTTTAGTGCGTTATCGCTTACTTACATTAAAATTCAAAATTAGTTTTTTCCTAAAAGATGGACAATACTTTTTTTAAGGTGTAAAGTGAAGATGAAGTGTAAACTACTGTATTTCATGTCTTTAGTAACAGTATTCCAACCTCTTAATCTCTTCCCTGTTTTTAAATATCAAACACGCTTAGAGCTCCCTACAAATAGAAATGTTCTCAAATCTAATAATGATTTACCCAAGTTCTGATGATGGTCTCATTTTACAACCAGTAATATCGTGCAAGGACCACAAAAGTCAGGGTTTTTTTCAATCACACACAGGATGAAAGCGTGTCTTTGCTCTCTTGTTACTGTAAGAGGCAGATAGGAAGCAGAGAAATGGGAGCTGGGATTTTTGGCAGAGCTCTGCGTACATTGTTTGCTGTTTCTCTGTTCAGTTCCATCTCCACGTCCAGAGAGTACCTACATAGAAAACAATGTGTCAAACAGAGCCTCGGTGTTACCAGCAGACAGCACCACGGTGACAAACCACCCCAAGAGACAAACCACCTTTGATACCTGGTGAGTCGTAATTTGCACACACCTGTAGAGAATGGCAGGAAAAAAACATGTTTTTAACAGGAGGGGAAAAAACCTCACGATTTTCTCGAGATTTGCAATTGACCATGTGCTTAGTTGCTTCCTCCAGCTGTACTGGCATAGCATGGCATGTTTTCTGTCCCCTTTTGAGCAGCAAGAAATCCTTCATTGCACCCATAACATGAATGCATTAAAGTTTATATACTTTATTCCAGTACTTCACAATTTTTTTCCTGCTATTAGTCTTTAGTTAAAGATAGTACAAAGTGCTTGTGTGTGTAGTATGTATAGAAATTTGTGGATTCCAGAAGCATGAATTATTAGACAAGTGGAGAAAATATCAAAATGCATGCTTCCATGTATAAAGTAATACTATATTAATGAAAAATATTTTCACTCTACAATGGGGACCGCTGCTCTCTTTGTTTACACGCAGAAGGAAACTAATACATTCTATGGGAAAATGGACTAAGCAACATCTTAATGGTGTATATTGATTTTAAAAGATTAAAAGCATCACATGGCTCCATTATATAACATAGAGCACCTTAATTATGCTACTAAAATGACAGCATATACATAGCTTTGCAGGACTTAGCTTAATTTTGTTTCTCTGAGAGCTGTTTGGCTCTAAAATACTCTTAATCTTATACTTCGTTAAATCACAATAAAGTGTATTGAATAAAAATAAGCAGATGGAGCTTCACAGGATTGGTGGGAGGAATGGTCTGCATACATTTGCGTGGTTCAACTATGCTTTGTACCACTCTCTGAAACACTTCTTTCTGAAAGAGCCATAAAGTCATGCTATCTAAACTGTTTCAGTGGTTTGTTGATCTAATGTATTTTCACACAAATAACCAGTGAATTATGTGCTTTAAAGAGAAAGGGGGGTGGTGGGTGGTGGACAGTTGGTATTTCAGATACCTGTGTCAGTAATAGAAGATGTTTACTCCAGAACACTTCTCACCTGCTCTGATTCACTAGTGTGCTTCCTGTCCTTCAGTAGCTCCACCTACGTCCATTTTCTGGAAGTTAGCTGAGGAAACCGGTCATTTATGTAAAAAAGGTGGTACTTTTGTTGTGACTTATGTGGCTAAAGAAGGTATTTATTCCTACTGTTGAACCCTTTTACCATTTTACATTATGCTTCATATCTGGATCTTTCTATCTTGCACAAAACATAAGACAACTGGAATCTTGTTTTGCTTTATATATCATTCAGCCATATATTGTCTTGACTGCAAAGAAACATGTAATGTTATTTTAACACTGACCAAAAAAAATAGCGTATGTTATTAGAGCTGGTTGGGAATTTTTTTATGAAGTGTTTTTTTTATTTATAATGCCAAATTACTGAAATCAAAAGAACTGGCTGATACCCATTAACCTTTTATTGTGAAGATTCTTCAGCTCCAGGATGCAATTGCCAGTCAGAACCAGAGATACTCTCAAAATAACAAATATTTTGGAGGCAGCATTATTTTGTAGAATGTGAGGAACTTGAGTGCAGGGTCTTTGTTATTTAAACCAGAGGCTTGAACCAAGATCTTAGATCTAACAAGTGAATGCCCTAAACCAGAAGTTAGAGGTTATTCTGGAGGACATTGTCTGGTTCCCTCAATACATGCTCTTGAAGCTGTTTCATCTTGTTAAAACAGTGAAATGACCACAGAGGTGCTGAATATGGCCTTGTGAAAAAGGCTCTTCATTAACTTTGAGACAGTCAGATTTAAGTCCTTGCTCCAAATTACTCCAGTATTTTCACAAAGTGGAACAGCTCCTTTGTGAGAAGAACCCATAGAAGAATAAGCATTTCTTGTTATGAAATGGAAGAAATAGCAGTACCTGAAACACCCAAGTTACTGCTATTTTGGCATATGCTTATCTTTCTCTTTTCTTTTCCTATTCCCTATTTTTCCCAAAATGTTTCCTGCCCAGCTCTACATGCTAACTCTGTTCAAGTTGTCCTGGCAATGGTCTAATGTTGTTGCGAAATTGTTCTGTGCCATAAATGCAGCTTAATCAGATTCCTGAGTGGTGAAGAGTCTGTGTTCCTCTACTTAATTTTCTGTATAGAAATTGTGTAAATGCTTATGAAAATGTTGAAAGCTCTAATGGAATATGATTCTGCTTACATCAATTTTATGATGAAGTAAATATTTGATGTTTGACTGACATACCTAACTGGTACATGACAATTCATCTTGAATTATGAGTGACATGTATTCCACCTGGACTTGCCACTACTGTAAAATATTGCTTCTCATACTATTGCTCTGTGTTGCCCTTCTTCTGTCAAAGATTCTGTGAATGTTTGCTAGACTGAATTGTCACAGATGTTCCCTTGTCTTTGTGTGCATTTTTTCGCTCTGTCCCCCTGTCCTGCCTTTTAAAATAAAGATGTTATAAACTTGACTTTTGTCATTAGATTTTACTCTTAAATTACTAGATCATTTCTGAACTTCTAAACAACTTGATTTGAAAAAAGGCAATTTTTTTTTTATCCTTCTAGAAAATCTTTTCTTTGCTAGAGTTTAATTTCCTGTAAGTGACCTTGAACTTGCTCAATTTTTTTCTCATTGATACAAGAACAGATGTTTTATTCTCTTTTGCTCATACAAGTTTTGTTCTGAGCTGGGCACAATCAGTAGGTATAGGCAAGATACTTAATTGTATTCTGCCAGTGTGCCAGAACATTGGCCCGAGTTATCTTTACCACTGTCATAGTTCTAAATACCTCTTTAGAATCAATTGCAACATGCAGTAGTGTATCTTACATCATACTGGAAGTGTTTGCATTGACTGCTTACAAGATATTTGGGGGCTTCTGGAAAGCATTTTTGTTTAGACCTTTTATGTCCGTACAAACATAATCATACTATGACAAGCAGCTTGTCATATCTTCTCTAGCATATGTCATACATTTCTGCAAAAATAATAAAAAAGAGGAACTATACATCTAATATTACTGTTTTTATATGTATATAGTATATATAAACACACACAAAATCTCTGTCATTCAAGAAAAGGACAAAAATGAAATCTCACTCTTAAAAGAGTAAAAGGCTTAAAACTTTATCCACAATAAAGTTTCAAGGTTCCAGAACAATACATTATTTTGTAAACAGGACATGACTGACTTCTATATTGCCATGTCAGTATCAGTGTAACATAATAGTCACACTATTCCTGAAAGTAAAAGGTTGCTAGCATCTGAGCAAGTTAGTTTAGAACATATTTGGCCGTGTGTGCAGCATGACTGTTGCAACATTATAAATACTTCCCAATTCTTTAATGGAATTTGTAAAAAAAAAATCAAGAAATTGCAAATTCTGAATGGTATTCTGTATATGAGACAATAGATCTGGGGTTTATTCCAATTAATAAATCCTCCTTTTCCACATCAAAAGTAAAACATTGCAGCTCCAAACAGAGTTCAGATTTGATCTTTTGATTTTTAAGCTTTCAATGCCAGACTTCTAGACCATGAAGTTTTACTGTGGGCTTCAGTTTATGGGATTGAGATTCCTGTATTGAACTATCTATTTGAACTGTTTCATTGGTTTCTGACATTTTCTTGTTTTTGCTGAATGGTAACTGTGTAACTACCCCTTAAGGGTCTTACTTTGAGTAAAACTAAAAGCTAACGTGGAGAATTAGTGTTTGACATTTATCTTCCAAAGAAAAGTTCAGCTATTTCAGTCACTCCTTCATTAGACAAAAACCTTACTCATGTAATTGTGATTGGATCAGTAAAGGGAATAGTACATGAGGGTTTCCAAGCCAGGCTGCCTGATGAGATTAGGATTGCTGAAAAAGAACTAAAACAATCATGAGGAATTGCCTCCCAAAAAGAGCTGTCTGCAATACGAATCTCTCTATGGCAATATGAATGCAACACACTTCCTATTTTTTCTTTTCAGTTAATGTGAAAGCACATCAGCTTGCTTGCCACATGCATGTTTGCTGCTACACCTCATTGCACCTGCATGAAGCTGGATACCTTTCCTACTAGAGGCAATAAATAAGAGTGACAATCACAGAATTTCTGTTTGTACTTATGCCTTTTCCACGTGTTTCAGACCAGAATAACCAATGTGTTCTACATTACACATCCTAAGCATGCAAAAGCTGCACAAAGATAAAATAACAAAGCACAGCACATCTTGCTTTTGGTTTCTGCTTGAGAATGAGCTCTCTGAGTGGGGGCTCTTCTCTAGGGCTACTCTTATTTGCTACTAAAACAAACAGCACATAAAGATTCTGGTGAAACTGTTTGCTTTAATGAGCTGAAGCTTTATGCAAAATACCAAGATATTTGCAGTATGTTGTAAGAGTTTAGTGTTGTGTGACTCTACCATACAGATTTTTTTGATAATCCTAATTTTCTCCTGTACTGTCCATTATCTGAAAATCATCTTTTGGGATGCCTAAAATATCCCAATGTTTCATCATCGATCAAAATGTTCTGCTCTATTTTTACTCAGTACAAAATCCTGGTGTTGAAGCTTCCTGCTATAATGCTATATATGTTCACTCTCTTCACATAATGAGCATGTGTTTTGAAGCAGTTGCTTTTCAAGGTCAGTGCTTTTTCAGACAACTGTACTGCAATATGAGTCATAGGAGTTAATGACATGAACCATTCAGTAAAAAACCACTGGCTTTTGGGTAAGCAGCAGTTGAAAATGAGCAGTTCTCAGCCCCTTATTTTCCAATTCTCTCTGGTCACTGTAGCCATAAAGAGGAAATCATGGTGCAGAATTCCATTTCTCTCCTCTCTGCTCAACTGCTGTGGAGAGCAGTTTTCTCATCCAGGTTCACTGGGCCAAAGAAAAGAATCATGCTTGAGTGAATCTCTGTCTAAGAGTATTGCAAAAATTGTTCCAAGCTTCACTCTGAAGATTACCTTCACCTTTTAAAATATAGCATCTCCATTTTGGAATAGACTTTGTAATAGAAAAACCATAGCAAAACGTTGAAAAATTTTAAAGGATAGTGTAAAGTAACCTCCTGGGGGTCTCGCTGATGATGTGACACTGGTTCCTCAGTGGACAAGAATCATCGGGTTGCTAGTTTGCACTGGGGCTGTGGTTTGGGATATGCCTGCAGATGTGAATGCACAGGAGCTCCTCTGGGGAAATGCTCAGAAGATTCTTAGCCCCTTTTAAATGACTTTCTGAGTACAAGGAGGATACTTGGGGTGTATGCTTTCCTCCAACTTTTCTAACAAATCAATTAAAAATCATTTAGTGAATAATTCAGCAGGTGTTCTGTCTGTGTTAAGTCAGACAGACTCCTGAGTTCACTGAATCTAAAGCTCTGAGCAGTCTTTACTCTTTGACTTTCTCCTTGGTGCTTTAAGTGACTTGTATAAGAATGCCTTATTACCTGTCACACTACTTACAGTAGTACCAAATACAGGGACATGACAGCAACAGGAATCTTTAGCAATCCAGTATATTTAAAATATGTGTTATAAATATAGTAATTACATTACACTAGAGGTTTTTTCCCTGTAGTAGTGTTTTAATGTCCACATTAAATATGTATTGTCATGCACCTGCATGTATTTTCCGCATCTAGATATAAGTTCCCAAAAATCTAAATTAGGAAAATTTCTACCATACTTCCTGCCTATGAATCTTTTTGCTAAGACCATTCTCTTAATGAACAGTTGCTCTTTATTACAGGATTTAAACACTGCATGCATTTATACTTAGAGCCTTATACTTAGAGCCTTATACTTAGGTAATATTTCAAGCTTGAGATGGTTTTGTGTAGAAATTGAGGAACTAATGCCACTTACCAGAAGATGGTTTTATCAATACAGAGGATACCCCAGTTATGTTTTTCACATTTATTTGGGAAAAACAAGTCAGCCTGGCATGTAGTAGCAGCTGAATCACCAGCTGATAGCATAGCATTTAAAGCCAGAATTAGAAGCCAGTGACAACTATATTAGACAGTTAAATGTTGCTACATTGCAGTCGCTCCAAGAAAAGCTCCTGTTTGTCATACAGAGCCCTTAAAACAGTGGCTTTGCTTTAGGTTTTCCACCAAGACAGAGGAATAATTTATTTTTTGTTTTCCTGCAATTCAAGCACGAAAAGGGACTATTAAATGACGCAGTATGTCTTTCTATATGTTAGTTGCTATTAAATGTTGTCCATCCTCTGGAATCCAGGCCCAGAGGCAGGCCTGTTGGCTGTGTTTCTCCCAGATGAGTATTAGGTCCTGATTTGAAATGTCAAAGATGGGAAATCTACTTCGCTAAGGAGATTGTTCTGATAGTTAATGATGTTATTGTGAAAATCAGTGCCTCATGTCTAATACGACTTCTTAGGCTTCATCATCCACCTCGTTTTTGTTATGTCTTTGCCTGTTAGTTTAAAGATTTTTCTAGTATTCTGTAACTTCTTTCTCGATAAGTAGTTGTGTATCATGATCAAAGGAATCAAATATTTGGGCTGGTTTGGCTGTGTTTTTAAACACACTAAGGAGGTTGAAATCTCTGAAACTATTTCTTTGAGGCTTTACTGCACCATTTTCACTTTTCAAGCTATTTTAAAGGGCACTAGAACTGCATTTAATTATGTCTCACCACTGTCTTTGTAAACCATCTTTTTATCCCATATAAGAACTTTACATACCTGGTTTACTGTGTATATTGAAAGTAACATGTTATTTATCAGCTGTAGTTGCTTCAGATGGAAAAGCTAAGAGTTAAAAGGCAGAAATTCAGTCTTCAGGCAAGTCACCTGTTCCACTTTTGGGACACCTCCTTTTGCCAGCACTGTCTCACTCACACACAACAAACTAACTGAAGGTTTTAAGTTGAAATGGACAACAGTAGATTCCCAGCTTCCCCGATGATAAATTTGGAACCATGTCAGCAAGGGTCAGGAAGTGCAATTGAAAGTGGTTCTCTCTGGCCAACTTTGCAACTCCTGGTTCTCCGGCAAGCAGTGGATAAACTGGACCTGTGCTTTTATAGCTCATCACCATTTGTATGTTTTCTCAGATATGCTTTTCATTTCTCTTAAAGACCTTGTGTGTGATATTTTGGTTTGAGTATTAAATTCTGGCTTAAAAGAACACATGCATGCTTTCCTTTTCCCTAAATAACAATTCATTGGTTTAAACTAATCATTCTACCCTTTAACTAATGTAAACTAAACATTTTACATTTTACTGTGTACCTCCTATCCCTTGTAATAAGTCTATCTGGTATTGCTGTAGTAACCCTGGAACCAATGAATGCTAAGACATTAAGTATCGTTTTACTTTAATCAATAACTTGCATTCTTTGGCATCAGATCTCAGTATTACACAGAATTTACAAAGTAATACCAAAATAAAATTTCTCTTACAATACCTTATTTCATATTTAGGAAGAGTCCTGAAAACCTTAACAGTCATTCAGAACAGCTCAAGGAGAAAGAAAAGCAAGGTTTTTTCAGGGCAATAAAAAAGAAAAAGAAGAAATCTCAAAATGTAAGTATGCAGCATTTCTAATAGAAGAATTATTTTATTCATTTTGAATTATACCATTTTTATATGCTAGATTAGTACAGTACATTTGTATTATTTATGATTATGTGTATGTATACAATTGTTCTTTTATTTTCTCTCTTCACTAAATGAAAGTCAAATTCTACTCCTGTTCAGGGTTGATTGTTCTTCCTTTTCAAATATTTCTTCACTTACTAGTCCTGTGCACCTTTGTTTACATTCAGACCCTTTAAAAGCCAGTTTTGATGCAAATATTAAGATGATGTTGCAACAGATTCTTTTTCTGGATATGGTGATACCATTCCAAGAATAGTAAATTCATTGTTGTGTGTCCCCAGAGCTTGAATAGTTTCAGGCACTCATATAGAGAAAATGAAGTTGTTACAAATGAGAATTCTTTCCAGTCTTTTTCACGGAAGTGTCTTGGTAACAGCCTCTGTCTTCTTGCTGCATTCCATGACTGGAATAAGGATGCTCTGTCTCAACCATTTTTGTTATATGTTTTGTTGAGGGAATGGATTGAGGCTTTTGTTATTCAGTATAAGTCTTTGGTGTCTCTCACGTTTTTACATTTTCATATAGCTTTTGGGAGGGAGAAAGGACTTTCTTTTATCAGAAAGTAGTGGTGTACTAACATTTCACAGAGTTTTGTAATAAAGATATTCCCTAAGAACAGAAGCAACCTAAACATAATCTCATTCTTAAGTGACAGCTTTGGAAACAGTAAAACATTTAAAACAGTAATGTTCCTGTAAGTGTAAATGCAGTTATAGTTTTGAAGATTCTCAGAATTGAGTAAATCATGCTCACTCCTGGCGAAGGAGAGTGACTTAATGAAAACACTTACTGTCAAGGAGTGAGGTGATACAACTCTGAGTGTTGGGCTTACCTGTTGAAAATTGGGAGAGAGGAATGATTTTTTTTTTAAATTTCTTTGCACTGTGTGGAACATGTGCATATGTATATTAACTAGAACTCAGAAATGTACTTCACCTTCCTGCTGGGTGAGATTTACAGCAATGGCATCTACCTCTCCTTCTGAACTTGTTCACCCTTATACCTCTGTGCAGCTCAAATATGATTATTTTTATTAAACAACTGAATGAAATGTTTAGAGTATAGGTCTGGGACTGTTTGATACCAAGATGTCCATGTAAGGATAACACACCTAAGGCTATTTGTTCCATTGATGCATTTTCAAGGGGATTAAAAAAAAATGCAAAAAGTATTGCTATGCTGTACTCTGGTTCCAGCCATTCAGACATGGTAGCAGACAACACTCCAAATATCTCAGCTGATAGATGGTGTATTAATTACCTCCACATGTGAAGGAAATATATACTGGATTGTGTTGCCTCTCAAAATCTGGCATTTTACAAAACACCTGAGTCAAAAGCTCCTTGATCTGTAGCTACCAAAACCATCACTGATCAGAAACTAAGGCAGATGTATATATAATCCTTACTCCTGTTTCTTCTCACTCTTAAGAAGGGAGGTAGAGAGGAACAGAGAGAGAGAAGGCAAAAAACTGTGTTTGGTACTTAGAGCTCGTATCTCACAGAAAGATGAATAAATTAGTGAAATAATATAGTGATACAACTCTTTCATCCTCAGCTGGAAACTTGCTGAGATCAACTTGAGTTTTGTATCAAACCAGAGCCAGAAAACCTCCATTCATTTCTATTTACAGCTGATTACCAGGACAGTATCTAAGCATAGACATAGCAACACTGGTGTGTGTACAAGTGTCTGGCTCAAACACTGCTTTGTTCTTCTTCATCTGTTAGTTGAAGACATCTACCTAGGATCTTCCAGCACAAAATAAAATTACTGCCTTCAATTCAGCACAAGATTTGGCATTAATTGTAAAAGCTGTTCACATCACTGTAATATTAGCTCTTCAACTACACATATAATGTTTTCTATGAATTCCTATTAAAAGTATTAATAGAAAACTTGTGACTACCCAAGTTTTTTTTCTGAGACCTGCAATTCATGAAGAGTCCTAGAAGGATGAAATTCCAGTTATTTACTCATACACAGACTTTCAGCAAGAAATAACAACCTAGACCTGAGGACTGTCACAGAGCAAGAAAGCACATAATAGCTAGCTATGATTTCCTTCTGATATCCTTTGGCAAGTCTCATTCTGCTGGTGATCGTCATCACAGGAGTCGTAAAAGATACCTGAAATTGAATTGAAGACATCTTAGTAATGTCAATATTAGATATTCTCAAAATATCTAATAGCCCAGAATTGATCCCAGTTCCTGACGCTTCTTCCTGCAGGTTGTTCCCATGAAGCATTCTCCCTGGAGTTCTCCAGGTGCAGTGCCTCATGGGATAGCAATTGTTACTGCCTGTTACGGGAATTCTTTGCAATATTGTTTTTGCAGAGCTGTTCTTATCCATTCTCCTTTTCATCATTTGAAGTGTTTTAGTAATTTAGCAAAAGGTGTTGAGGATTGTTAGAATCACAGTTTTATGTCATCTGCCACCAAAAATTTGGTACCCATGAGGGGTGTGAACAGTGTCAGTAGGTACTATCTTCAGAGGAGCCTGAGTTTTGCAGACTTTGGCACTTATTTCAAGCTATGAGTCTGAAGAAATTATCTGCTTTGGAAAAAACAGTTGCAGGTGAGCATTTCTCTTAGCAATGCTTTCATTTCTTTTTAATTTACTGAATTTGAAACAGGAAATTCTTCTGACCATAAAGTTCTTAAACATAAGCTATGCTAATTATTGATTTTCATTAACTTGGATGGAATCTAGATGCTGAGAAAGCGGTTTGAAAGCTCTTGCTTTTGGTGGTACACTTGTCATTGTATTTAGTCCTATAATAATTCTATTGCATAATAAAGATTTCTTCTGATAGACAGGAAAATGCAAGGCACAGTGTATGTGTCCTATGGTTGTTTGCAATAGACTCATTTATAATTTTAGTACTTTCTAGTTCTGCTTGTTCTTCATGAAGCCACTGGTAAGCTCTTTGGTTGTGCTCCAGAAATTAAAATAAAACAGCCAATATACTTGCATCTATACATGAAGTTGCTAATGGTATATTTATGTTAGAACTGAAATAATTCATCTCAGAGCCTTCACTCTTATTGCAAGTTAAAAATAGAATGCTTTTATTTCCCCTGGAGTAACTATCAACTGCTCATTCTGAAACCAATTCCTAGTATTGTTAGTGTATCTTTATTTTCTTTATATAAAAATATGAAATATTATACTGCTTTATGTCATTATCAGAAATAAAAATGATTGCCAGGGTTACAGGATTTAATTCAAAGCTCAGTAAATTCAACCACAGCTATTAGTTATTTCCAAAAGCCTTTGAAGCAAACACATTCTGTATTCCTAATGAACATGCATTGAAGAATAGGTGTGCTGATATTTTTTTACATGCATTTCTATGCATTGAGTTCCTTGAATTTGTACCATAGGTTTTTTTCAATCATTATTGTATTTTCCAAAAGAAAATTATAGTTATATAGATTTTCCAAAAGAAAAAAATATATATATTGTATATATATATATATACAATTATAAATTGTAATATTGTCGAATTACAAAAACAAAAAAAAAGAGTTAACATAGTAAGGGGCAGATAGATCTCTTGAATTGAAATACTGTGCATTTAGTTTTTGTGTCTTATATTGCAGACAGACTCAACCAACGGCGAGAATCCAAGCATCAAGAAATCCCTCTTCCCTCTTTTTAATTCAAAGAATAATTTAAAGCATAGTTCTTCTTTGAAAAAACTTCCTGTAGTCACTCTACCAATGGTATTAATTTTTAAGTACAGTAACACTGTAAAATGTTCCAGTAAATTTGTTTTACTGACTACAGCAGCATGTGGTTTATTTTCATGGTATCACTTCTTCTTCATGCCAGTTAAGTATCTTGGGCCAGTTCAATAAATTTAAGTAAAATTGGCAGTTTTGTTGAAATAGATTGTGCCAACTAATTTTTTTTTTACTGTTTGATGTAGTGAAAATGTAACATACACAGTTCCAGAGAGAATGAGCCTTAGTAGGAAGGCTAGGGAAGGGAAATAGTTGTGAAATTGTGTATGTTTAAAATTAAACCGAGTCAGTATGTTTCATTCAGGAAAAAAATTAACCTGGTTTGGTTTATAACTATATTGTAATTACATAATTTTATACAAACTACTCCTTTATATATAAACTTAAATAAATCAAATACTAACAATGGATTATGTGGAAAGAACTTTAGCTCATGTGTCTGTTGTATTTTTGTTTGGCCTGATTGTTCATGATAAAAGACAGCTTGCATTAAAAATAGATTATATTTTTACTGTCCTCTTTTTACTTAGAATTCTTGAAATGAGATAAAAAGCTACATGTAAGTTTTAAATTATCTTTCTGCCATAAAGTTTCAGCTGTTTCTTAATTTTTGCTTTAGTTTGGGATATTTGTGGAGGAGAAGAAATGTGTGAATCAAGAAAGCTCTTGGATTTGTGATGTCAGTCAAGACATCAGTTTAGAGGGATTTTGGTCTGCTTCACTCCAGAGCAAATTTATAGAACTGATCCATGGTCTTAACTGCAGTATGGAATGCTTTTTAAATGAAGATGAGGCTCAACAATATTTTGGTTTTAATTTTATTTTTGAGGCCTTGTTTAACTGCTCTTTCTTACAGCAAATAACACTAACAGCATGTGAATGTTTTAAGGGCTAAGGGTAGAGCAAATCTGCATGATGTCCACAGCCACTTGCTCTTACTATGGGGAGAATTCTTGAGAGGTCACTGCAATTCTTCTGCAGTAACGGGCTTCACTTGTGTTCTGTAATTAACTGTGGGAAAATATTTACAGCTATTCTTAAGAAAATATTAGGAGACCAGTGTTTAATATTTTGTTGCAGATGCCTAACACTGAAGGTCAGGATCTCTTGGCATTACAGAAAGCCATTCATTCTTCCAATCACCAGAGCAGCAGGCAGAAGGATTGGCATCCTGAGAAGATGACAGAAATCCAGCCTCATGTAAGTGGCATTATCAGTTCCCTATATATTAATATTACTGATGTATCTTGACAGCTTTTTCTCTGGTGAATTGAAGAATTGCATTTGACATTGTTTCCCAGCTTCCTAATTCCTTGCTCACTAGATGTAAAAAATCATGTACCTGCAGTCCTGCATAATTTTTTTTAAAATGTGGACATGAATGACAAGGAAAAGAGAGACTGAATATCCTTTGTCAGTCTTTGAGCCCTTCAAAGTATTGGTGGTGTTTTTGTATTATAGGCAAGGAGTGTTTCAGTGCACGTCTATGGTAGCAATGCAGTTCTGTACAAAAGCCCTCAAGTCAGCTCTGTAAGGAGTGGTGAATCCTGAGAGTTGGCTGCTGCTCAGCAGTGTTCGATACTTGATGTGGACACCAAAGCATCGAGACCACGTTACAGTGTGGCTGGCACAGACTGCAGTTTCATCAGGCTACATTTTGAAAGCATTGCACTGCACTAGTGCAACTTCATTTTCTGCAGTGCTAAAACCAGCTCAGTGGGCAGTATTTGGGAGGGAGTGTCAGTGCCATGCTCCACTGTTGTCATATTGGAAACTGGAAAAGAGGGTTTGTTGCAGCTGCAGTGTTTGAAGAAACAAATTGCTCTGTGAGCTGTGGAATTTAATGAGACTGCTTTCATACCACCCAGGCTCTTGATACCCATTTTCAGTAACCCTGAATCACCACTGACCTTCAACTTGCTCACCAGTGAAAGAAGCTGCAGGAGATCAGAGCTGCCTATCACCCAGCTGCCAGCAAACAAAATATGTAACTTCTGAGTTCTGCCAGACCTTGTTTTAGTGCAGATGGTTACTCAAGACTCACTCTAACCCCTAATTTATGTTCACAACATTTCTAAGAAGTTGTATTTCTGAAATCTGTTCCTCATAAAATGTGGCTGAGGTTCATAAGTTAATAGCAGAAGTGACAGATGGACAGCTAATGCAATTGTCTATGCCTGCATTTTCAAAGGAAACGAGGATAAAATAATTGATGGGACACATTTTTTTCTGAGGGAGAAAAGGTTCCATCTTTTCAGGTAGCTAATAGATTGGACTGTGATGAGAAGACACTTTCTCAGGTGTGTAGTCACAGCTTGGGATGAAATATATCAAAAAAATATGAACTAAAAGTGAAGAAGTCCTGTAAAGATCAAAGATGTTCAGTTTAGGATAGGACAGCTTTTTTATGGGAGATCTGATATGATGGAACTTTCCCGTGTGTCTTTCAGAGCCAGCCGTTAAAATCTCTTCGGAAGCTCTTACACCTCTCCTCAAACCATCCTGTCACTGCTGAGCCCCGCTTCCAGCCCTTACCGAGCCAGCCAGCCAAAGCTTCTTTTCCTGAAGTGCGAATTCATCCCATGAGTCAAAGCTCCAGCAGCGGCAGCAGCAACGTGCGGCCGGAGCCCCAGCCGAAGAGCCGGCCAACGCTGCAGATCCCGAGCCAGCTGGAGCCCACCTGGCACGTGTCCCCGGTGAACAGGAGCGTGAGCGATGGGCCCCCCTACTCCGACCAGCTGCCTTCCAAGAGCGGACAGAACGGGCACACCTACAGCCGAACAAACCGGTCGCGAATGCCAAATCTGAACGATCTCAAAGAGACAGCCTTGTAATTGCACTGCAGCAAATAGACCAGTGTGGGTGGAGATCAGCATAGGGGAGTGGTGGTGGTTCTGGTGATGGTAAGACTGCATTTTCAGCTTTATAAAGGTGTGCAATATGTACGTGTGGAGCTATGCTGTTCGGCACCACGAGAGAGTCAGGGATTATACAGGTGCAAAAGTGAAACTATGAATTACCAGTCATCAGAAATGTCACTGGATGCCAGGCAGAGTGTGACAGTCAGGGAGAAAAATGCACTGTCATTTTCTCTCATTTACATTCCAGCTTAGTGCACACCTCTGTCTGAAAGCTGGGAGACTTCTGGTATGTATTGGCACTTATAAGGGTGAAAACATTGTCTAGGCCTATGCCCTTACTACATTTTTTGCTGCCTAGTTAAAACAGTGGGGTTTATGTGATAAAAGTGTATCCCTGTTAAGGGTTTAAAGTTAAATTGTATGTCTTAAATTTGTTTTTTAAACTTCCATATTTGATAGGATTTGTAATATTTATTTATGATGACCTAATATCGTACTGTTATAATCATATCTTTTATGTTATAATGTAAAGTTATTTTGAGCTGTTTGAAACATTGTGAAGCAGTGCAACAGCTACAGTAGTTTCTATAAAAAACTAACAGTAACATTTATATATTGCATCAGGAGTATTTTATTCTATATATAAATATATATATAAATGGAAAATAACTGTCTGTTTTTTAAATATACTCATTTAAAAGAAAAGTATTGTTATGACACTATCTGCCATATTTTTTATACATTTGTGATATAAAGTGCAGTATTATACTTCTAATAAAAGGAAGTTGAATGTGGATATAAATGTGACTGTAACAGTATGAGTCTTGCTTGGCTACGAGAGCCCAGTATTACAGGCATTACTGGTAACGAACAAAAGGCAGCATTTTATTCCAAGCTTTATTATGGGCTATTTTGTTGGAAGTATTGGCTAAATGTAAGAGACTGCAGAACTGTACAGTAATCTAAATGTGGTATGTTCTCCCCTGTGTCCATAGCTTTCCTAGTAATATTAATGGGATTTCTGCATCTGCATCAAGAGCACAGAGCCCCAGTACCAAATTTTTGTTTCTTCTAAAGAGATGAAGTGCCCCATGACTACAAGCGAAAGCAGGTGCTCTTCCACTTAATAGCAGGGGTGAAAACCAAAGAAACACAGCATGAATTGCAAGTGAAATGCAAAGCTTCAACACTTAAGCATAGCATGGCACTGCAGATCATGGTATAAGCTTTTATGCATATGTGTATTTTACATCTCTAGCAATCTATGAACTAATAAGATAAACACTGTATTAGAATTTAAACTACTCTTGCACTTTTTATTATATTTCAGGATGTATTTAAAGTTACAAATCTGATATTTGGATATTGAGGGAGAAGGTTGCCATGCAACTTGATTTCTCCTTAGGTCTTATTATCCAGATATTCCCATACCCAGTTCAGCTACCAGTCTCAGCAAAATACTAGATCTTGGGTTCCAGTCTCCTGTAGAACATAGCTAAAACTGCCTTTACCTTGGTGAATGTCAAGTGTAGAAAATACACACCCTGATTCCTCTGTTGCTACCAGTAAAGTGAATCAAAGGTGAGCCAGTAGGAGTCAAAATAGTTATGCCAGTCTAAACTTTGTGCAATAAGAGGAGAGCCAGGCCTGTAGTGTCAGAACAATACAATCTTTCCTTTTTAAACATTAGTTCTACTCCCTCATTACTCTGCAGCATAGTTTGTTTTCTAGATGCTGTCTTTGTAAGACACCTGTACTTGCAAATACACCGTTTTTTTCCAAAAAGAGATTAACCTGAATGTAAACTGGATGATTTAGCCATAGATGTAGTTAACAGAAGCAGCCAGGCAGTAGAAGCTGAACTTCCAACTTGGATAACAATGCAAACTGGACAGGCTGTTCAGTACCTCTTGAGTCATACCAAAGTTCTAACAACAGAAAATTCGGCACCACTACTGTAAAAATTGTTGTCAGAAAGAACAATATGGAAGGATGCTATATCAGTTTTGTCCAGAACTAAAAATAAGTCTACTAAATTTGAAAAATTAGAAAACAGGAATTCTTCCTTTTTCAATTGCCTGCAAGAAATGTGCATGTGATTTTTCTATAGATAGATATGATACATAATATTTCTCTATATATGATATATACTGTATTGATATATCATATATATAGCATATATAATAGAAATGAAAGGGTATTCAGTTTTTTTCTAAGTTCAGTGGGCATCCAGGAAAGATATTGGGATATTTACTTGTTGTCACTGTCAGAGTTTAGCAGCTTATTTTAGCAGTCTCTGTTAGATTCATTGCTTGGTCACAGCTACTTAAGCCCTGTTAGCCCTGCTTTGAAATCCCTCACAAAAGCACTGTCTGAGAGAGTGGGGCTCTACGCAGTGCAGTTTGAATGTATCTTTTAGGGCAACAGAGCTGGTGAAGGGCCTGGAGCACAAGTCTTACAAGAGTGGCTGAGGGAGCTGGGGGTGTTTAGTCTGGAAAAAGGAATCTCAGGAGGGACCTCATTGCTCTCTACAACCACCTGAAAGCCAGGTGGGGGTCAGCCTCTTCTCCCGTGTCTCAAGTGAAAGGATGAGAGGAAATGACCTTCTGTTGTGCAAGGAGAGGTTCAAATTAGATATTAGGGAACAAAAAAGATCACTGAAAGAGTGTCCAGGCATTGGAGTGAGTTGTCCAGGGATATGGTGCAGTCACCAGCTCTGGAAGTGTTTGAGAGGCATCTGGATGTGGCACTTGGGTATATGGTTTAGGGATGACTGGGGTGATTGATGGTTGGACTGGATGATCCTTAAGGTTTCTTCCAACCTTGATGATTCTGCGTTCAGTCTCACAGGGAATGTTCGGTCTAGACTCTTCTGTGCTTCGTGGATATGTGTCCCTTTGCCTCTGCAAGGCTTTTAGCTTGCTGGTAAGATCTTCATGCTGGGGATGATGATACTGGGCTATATGTGGTTGTTATGATTTCTAGCAAGGAAAAATGTTTTTAAAGGATTTTTTTTCTCCATACCCATTAAGTTAAATCAGGGTGATCCCTGACTGTACATATAGCTGTTTAAAGTAGTTAGAAAATCTTCAAAGGTGACCCAAGGAATGTTTGAGTATTTGGTGGCCCATATTTACAGAAACTTGTTTCTACTTCATACTGCATTTTCCTCTTGAATTCAACAAACTGTGGTAGCTTTCAGTTGAATACTAAATTGTGTTGAATGTATGTAGTATTTTCTTTCTTCTGTTGGAAAGAAATTCCAGCAGCTCGGCCAGCTGGTGCTGGGATGAATTGTGTATTTTAACTTGGTCTAGCTTCCCAATATTTAGAATATGGCTAATGTAATTTTGTCGAGGTTTTCAAAAGAGTCTTATTATAGTGACTGAGATTTTCTGACTTAATAAAGAGGAAGAAAATTACAGAGCAAACTATTTTGTAAATGTGAGCTTTCCTTTTCACTGGTCTGTGAGTCCTGTACTACATGCTCTATAGATTTATTTAGTATAAAGGATCCTAGTTAAACTGCATTTTATTTTTTGGCAATCTTTTGCCTTATGGCATCACTGATGATGTGAATAAAAAAGAAACTAAGTTTCAGAAATTAGTTGTAGTAATTTTGCAGAACTCAAGCTGCCTAAACTTGTCTCTATGCTTTTGTTGTAGTTCTTGAGCTGTTTTTAACTGAAGAAAAAAGCACCTTAAGCTCATCCTAACTGAAATTGTGTAAGTGTCTAAGCTGTCGTTTTAAACTGCCATGTAAATGTATTAACCTAGAACAACATCTATTTTCAACAGACCTGGCCACAGAGAGCAGTCCCTTTGACCCATTTAACACTTTTTGCTCCATTTATTGCAGTCCAAGCTTCATTGCCTGTCTGAGAGGTTGCCAGGAGAGCACTGGGCAGAGTTCTTGGCAGGAAGTCAATGATCCCAGATTTGTCTCTTAGAACATTCCCCAAACACCACTTGTTCTTTTAGATCAATATTAAAGCAGACTTCAAACTTCCAAGTGCGTGAGGCATTCTCAGGTCGTCATTTGGCTTGTCGCCTTTCTCTCTGTCACACCAACTTGTTTCTGGGACCAAGACTGGAGTGACTCTTCAGGAAGCAGTGGCCTGTGGTAGGCTCTTCACCCTCCTTGTCATTGCAGCTAGATCTCTTCGGAGATGAATCTCACTTGTTTAAAGAGCTACATACCAACCTTTTTTTCTTCAAAAGCTGATGAGGTGTTAGCTGAGTAGACTCCTGGGTTCACCAAGAAAAAGCTTTGCATTATCAGCAATTCTGTAGACCTCCCTATAAGAACACCGGGAACCTATGGGATTACAGATTATACAGCTCTGAAAGCACTGTTGTAATCTAGGTAGCTAAGGAAAGACATAGCCACTTTAAAGAGGAGCTGTGCTCTAGAAGTATTGGGGGTTTTATTCATTTTCATTTCTCTTTCGTCTTGTAATGATTTGGTAGTGAGACATGCTTCAAAATACTTGCATGTAATTAATTCTATATGTGTTGATCACTGTCAGAGTAGAGCTGGGAGAATATTTGCATCCCAGTCATACAGAGTATGAAAAGGATAGCCATATATGATATACTGCAAATTGTGGGGTGGCAATGAATGTTTATTTTTTCCATTCCAGCTAGCATATATAGTACATCTATTAATGGGGTAATATCACAAACCATGCATCTAGGCTGTTGTTCATGTTAGTAGGCCCACCATTTGAAATAGGAGTGCCACAGAAGATGGTTGGAAAGGTGATGTGCCCTATGTAATTATTCTTGAATAACCTTCAAATCAAGACACTATTTAAGAACAGGTGCCTTTCCCTACACAGCTCTTTCTAATGGTATCATGATATTAACCATTCATTAACTGGGTTTGTAGTGATGAGGAAAAAAGCCATTTAACTTCTGGCCTTTTTTTAAAGGGGAGTGATTTGAGTAAACCCTTTAAATATAACAAAGCT